TTTGCAAGCGTCGGAAGCGCACAAATGTAAAGAATGGCAAAGGCATTTGATCACGATAATACCTGGGCATAGTTGTCTAAATCGTGAGGACACTGAATTATGGCACCCCATCATCGTATATTTTTGTCTCGAAATGATTTTATTATTAAATTAAATAATTTTTCAGCCGTAGCTGTATAATCACCAGACTTTCCAGCTTTTTTATCATCAAATATTTGAATAAGGTCCCAGAATCGACTGATGATACGTCCTAAATTAGAATCATAATATTTGACTACAACACACATTGTTTTCACACTGGCAACATCGGTACTTTCATCTACCATTATAGAGAACTTTACGCATTTTAAATCTTCGACTAAACATTCTCCTTCAGAAGCTCCGATAACGTTATTTATTACTGCTTGTAATTTAGTGTGTTTAAGTTTGATATTACTTGCGATTTTAGAATCTGGAAAAGCTTTTGGAAGTAAATCAACGAGATGATCCATCACTATGTGCGATATTTTATGTTCTGCCATAAAAGCCGATAATTTTAATTCTGTAATTTTCCGCTGATCATCATCACTTCCACGTTGTTGACTTTTAAAAATATTATCAATGGTACGCACATGCGATAGGCCAGGAAGACGAAGTTTATGCTTAGCACTTTCACTGTGTCTTTTAATTGCACCCAGATCAGAAATCAAAGAAGATTCGCAAACAGTGCAAATGCATTTATAAGCCGACTTTTTATCACGTGTTAACCACTTACCGTAGTCTTGTATTTGGAGCCATTCATCACGGAATTGTTGCCGATATTTCTTTTTAGCTCTTATCGGACCAGCATCGCTACGCACATAACTTTCCTCACTGCTTGAGCTCATTTTTACAGTAATATCGCTAGTCACTATAAGTTATAGTTTAGACTTCATTTCACATCACCCAAAACAATTAAAAATGTATGCACCAGGGCAAAACCAGTTTAAGTGTAAAGAATTAGACGAAAAACGCGATGTTCCTTTGTAAGACAGAGACTGTTACTTATTGCTAGTTGCGTCCCAGAGTGCTCCACGTCACTCCCGATTTGCCAGGGAATTCCCCGCAATTTTGTTACAACATTGTCTATGAAAAAATGTCAGTGGGTGTCAAAGAGAATATAATCACTACGTTTGCTGGGTTTAGATTAGCTGCGTTCCGTTTTACGTATTCAAATTGATAAAGCTATATGAAAGTTAAATACAGTATATTGCTTTAAAATTAAATGCAGTATATTCCATACACTGTATTTTACCCTTACAGTGTACAGTAGAAAAGTCTAAAATACAGTAGATCTACTGTAATTACAGTGAATCTGGAAGCACTGGTGTTCTGTGATTATGACATGGGCCTAGCTTTCAGATTTGATGTTGCCAATTAACAGACATGAAATCTATAAATAAATAAATAAATAGCGATTTTTTATTCAATTTATAATTTCATAAAAAAGAATAATCTTTGATTTGCTTTAAGTTCAGCACGCCTTTTAAAATATGTTTTGTTTTATTTATTTAAATTCCATTTTAAATGTATTTTTAAGAACAGACAAGAATTACATTTAAATTGTGCAGTAGCATTTTTGTTATGTTCTAAAGAGTTCATGGTAAATAAACTAGCAATTCGCCTGTTTAATTATTATAACAACTAGAACTATAGCTGGTATACCACCTAGTCCACTAGCTTTATTCACGTCTAGAAATCGCAAGTTTTAAGAACCTCCTTATTTGTTATACGAAATTCCGACAAAGAGGTCCCGCAGTGAGGTAATATAGGTGGAATATTGTTGCCACTATCCAGGCGTGAAATGTAGGCAAAGAGAGACGCGAACAAGCCCGCTTTCTCTTTAGCCGTATGCACCAGTGTGCCAGCCGGTTTTACCATTGGAGGCAGTGTAGGCCGACAGAAGTTTGTCTCGACCGCTTTGGCGAGAGATCATAAAGCTATAGTGCCGGATGGTCTGGTAGAGAGTTTTGCGCCAATATGTTTATTGCGATCGAGTCTAGCTTTCCGTAATGCTTTTTTGTAGGACTTAGCGACCTGGTTGAAAGTTCTCATCTTGGAGCTAATATCCGAGGTTTTGCGGCTTCGAACGTCAACCCAGGATAGGTACACTAAATGCTTGCGCTTTTCAGCTTGGGTGCATTCAGTGTTAAACCATGGAGAGCTTTGCTACCGGTGGGAGCGTCAGAGAAGGGGATAAAATACTCCATAGCTTGATGCAACACATCTACCAACGCAGCTCGACGGATCCGCAGAAGAGAAACAGATCTCCTCCCGCCAAGGGTAAGATGCAAAAAAGTATCGCATCTCATTCCAATCAGCTGACTTATAACGCCATATTCGTTAAACACCTTGGGACTCGTGATCAGGTGGAGAATATGGCGATACAGATTTCACCAGACAGTGGTCAGATGTGTCCAAAGGGTAGGTAACCTGTAGTTCATACCTGTCTGGTTCGGTAGTCAGCAGAAAGTCCAAGCAATTTGCAGTGTGACCGTCTACATCAGGTATCCTAGTCACTTCCTTTACCAGCTGAGAAAGACCTAGCGTCAAAGCAAAATTCCACGCTTTTGGTCACGCGGTTGGTCTTCTGATATGGGAACAGCCAGTCTTGGTGACAAGCGTTAAAGTCCCCCAGAAAGACCAACTGTGCAGTAGGATACCGAATTAGGGCCACGTCAGCAGCTTCGAGAAGGTGATCAAATAATCGTGTTGTCTCCTGGTCACCGCTGTGTGATTGATAGACACAGCCATAAAGGATTTTTTCAATACCTGTATCTAGCATCACCCAGATTGTGGGGTCTTCAAGATGACAGAGACGCTGGAAGCAGATGTCATTGCAGACGTATACACAGACACCGGCACGTGGATGGAATTAATGCTCCAGGGAGAATCCTGGATAGTGAAGGTAAGCCGCAATCAATGGACATCCAATTAGCGTCTTCGTCAAGAAAAGTAGGTGCGGCTTCTCAGTCTCAAGATTTGATTAGATTGCAATCCTCGAATATTAGTGAGGTAAACTTTTAGTGAGAGGACCTGCAGCCGCTGTTTAGCACTACTTTTCTTTTTAAGGTACATATTAAGTGTTAAGGGTGAATAAGGATGGAGAATGGCAGTTGAACGAGGTGTTGCATTAGTAACCAAACGATACTATCAGAGTTACTGTGCCCATGGGAACTTGAACTGGAGACTGCGGGAACGCCTGAACTACCAAAGAGATTGCCATCGGGTCCTCTCGCCCGATCGCTAATCGGCACGATGAGGCCACCCTGGGATTTTTCGTTGGTTGGCGGGGCAGCCCTTCATAAGTAGCTAATTCAATAATTCTGATCCGGCTACCCTCCACGACCAAGCAACCGACACGAACACGACAACGTCATTTAGCTTTAAGACTTTGCATTGGCGGGGGGTAGCCGACAAGCCAACGGCCGAAACCTACCACTTTTTACCGTTTAGCTCTATCCGGGGAACACATGTATTGAGTCAGTTCAAGTTTTTCCTACGGACGCAAATACAGCCTAAATACACGTCCCACTGCTGGGCACAGGGGCCTGGCGAGCACGAAGGCCAGACAACTGGGCCACCGCGACCGATCTATCGGGTGCCAAACTCCTCAGTAAAGTAGAGAGGTGCGAGAGGCATTGCGCGATGATAGTGCGGTGACACGCCGTCCTGCTGAAACCATAGCGCCCGCAAGGTTGCTAATGGAACATCGTAATTACCATGGTTCGCTTCAGGTTTAAACACAATTCACCTATAAGTCATCCTTCGATAAAAAATGGTAAAATCAGTTTGTCATTCAGTATTCCTGTGCAAATATATGCACTAAACCTATGTTGATAGGAATGCCGTTTCGTAAGTTTGGGAATCCGAGTGGACCACCAATGTTCATTCTGCTGATTGAATAATCCGATTCACGGACGTACGTTCGGATGAAATATCAGCTAAATATAACGACGTAACATATTATTGTGAAGTCAGATGGCTGAGCAAAAGAAAAATGTTGAAACGGATTTACGAGCTTAGAAATGAGATAGCAGACTTTATGAAAATAAAAGATAAACCACTATCTGAATTAAGTGATCCAAAATGGATATGTGACTTAGCATTTCTGGTCGATCTTGCAGCCTATTTAACTGATTTAAATTTGAAACTTCAAAAACAAGGACAGTGATCTGTACAGCCATTTGAAAGCGTTTCAGATCAAACTACGCTTGTGGGAGTCACAGATGCTGTCTGGTAACAGTTACCATTTCAACACGCTCTCTGCGTATGAAAATATTGCTTATGCTCAATATGCTGAAGAACTCAAGTTACTGTCGCAACAATTTTCGAACAGATTAAGCGACTTCAAAACCTTTTAAAAATTTTATTAAATTTCATTTTGTTATTTTAATAAATTGTACTATAATAACATTGTCGTACTATTTTATGTCTAATATCTATCGCAAAAAATATTATCACTATTTTAAAATGCACTAAGTACTTTTAAACGCGGCCCGCGAACGTATTTGCACGCTAAAGTTTGGCCCTCAACATGTCAATAATACCTTGTTTAAATAATTGATGGAAGTGGATTTTGATATGTAAAAAAGGTGTGATTTTGTGTATTAAATGTCTACGCATGTGAACTATTAGTGGAAACGGTGAAGCAAGGCTCAAGTTGCTGTTCAAATCTCCCAAGGGCTGCACAATGTGACACATTAACATATTGTGATGCAGTGTACTATGAAGGATAATTAATAATTATACATGGTAACTTCAGGCTCAGAAGGGCTAGAACCTAGAGCCGTAAACAGTTATTAAAAAAAGTATTCTTTGATATCTGTCATTAAAAGAAAACACGTGAAAAATCTATATTATAATTATATTAATCGTTTTTAAATGAGAAAGACAGCAGCTCCTGCTACTTATCTTAATAAATAATAAGAAATTATTATTTATATTTATTTCCTTAATATATAAGTCGAATTTCGTAAGAGATGCCGAAATCAAAGAGAGATAAAAAAGGTAATGGAAGTTGTTATGTTACCTATGTTTTAGACTTATTACCTAATTATTCATTATTCATTTTATTTTGTTTTAGTTTCACTGACCAAAACGAATAAGAAGGGACTACTTTTGAAACAGAAAATTATTGAAGAAATACGTAATTCACTGTCAAAATATGAACACATTTTTCTTTTTACCGTGGATAATATGAGAAATACTAAATTAAAGGACCTTCGGAATGACTGGAAAGATTCAAGATTTTTCTTCGGAAAAAACAAAGTTATGGCTGTAGCTCTTGGGAGGACCAAAAGTGATGAAATCGAAGAACAACTCAATCTGGTTAATTTCTGTTATATTTTTACTAATTCCCAATTATCTACTTACGTGGTAGAGTCACGCTGCAGCTATATTATGGTTGTAGCACAAATGAGTCGACTCAACCGGGGTAAGACCACCCACAGAATACCAGTAAAAATAACTCAATGCTGCTGTGTTATGTTGGTGTATAGTGAGTGTAGAGAATCTGCTACTCTTTTTAATAGAAATGAGGCATTCCATCATAGTCGTCAGGAGTGACGGTAAGACTTTCCATTGACGTCCGTCGAGTTGGGTGTTGATGAATTTTTTACAGAAAGGTTACATTTTTATAAGCACACACGCAAAATTTTACCATGCGGAAACGTGTACTTTTTGAGAAATAAATTATTGAAAATCAATTATCTTTGACACAAGTAGCATTATTTATTATCTGCCCTAATAGGTACTGTTAAAATAAAACAAATCAAATATAATTAATAATTTATTAATCAATTTTATAAACATATTGTATAGCCTTAATTAATTCTTTGAAGACATCTTTATGTGCTATTTTTATTTTTTTTTCTTCGATCTGAGATCGATTTTTCAGGCCCAAAATTTCAAAATATTTTTTTTTAATCGGTATGCAGTACAGAATCTATCCAATGAATTAATATTTCACCCTTGAAAATCGCCTTTAAAACTGATTTTACTGATAAGAGATCATTTATTGTGTTATCTTTCTTTTTTTCCATAAGAGATCATTTATTATGGTATCTTGTAAATGCAAACAGGAAAATATATCTATATTTTATAAATCGATTTTTAATGAATCTATACAGCTTACGATTCGAATCAATTTAAAAATCTATCTTTTCTGAAAGAATCGACATCCCTACTGACGACCACAATGACATTACAAAATGGCGCCAGTTTTACGGTAGGAATTTAACAAACATTGCAAGAATAATTAATTTTCAAATAATTTTTTTTCTCAAAAAGTACACATTTCCGCTTGTTATAACTTTGTGTGTGTGCTTATAATAGTGTAACCTTTTTGTAAAAATACGTTTCAACACCCAACTCGACGGACGTCAATGGAAAGCTAAGCCGGAGTGACAACACATCTGCATTTTGATTCTTAATCAAGAATAGTGGACTGTGTGCTCGTTTGTCACGCTTATTCTAAAAAAAAAAAACTCAATTCAGCTTTTAACCTTTTTGTTATTTATGTTATTTTTTGCTCTCAATAGTAATTTATAAGATAATCTAGTAAAGGCTTGTACTATCATCCCCAGCACTAACATGGAAAACCATATTATTTGGAAAATTGATATTAAGAACTAGTCTTGTGCCTGCTCGGTCATTTTAAAGATCGCTCTATACTAGTTCATTACGGACAGTGATCTAGTTCGTTCTATTAGCTCTATTCGATCATCAGTACTGCTAAGCTGTTTAAACTGTATCTATCTGTAAAATCTGTATGGAACTAGGTTTATATGGTTATAGTGATTATAGGCTCTCGTCCGAATGACATACTCAACTCACTGACTCTCTCATTCGCTTGTTCTCGTACATTCTCAGTTGCACGCGCGATCTGCCGTATAGCGAGTTAGGTGCACGAAAAAAGATGTTAGACCGGATTAACAATAAGTGTTCGGAAACATTTATTCTAGTATAGTCCTAAGATAAGTTTCCTATTCGTATATCATTCACGAACTACACAAGACTTAAGAACCATGACTGGTCTGGCACTGGAATCTTATATTTTTTAATAAATGAGCAGGTTGAGTTTGTGTTGTAAAACACCCAAGTCAGCACTTAAATATATGAATGGGTTGTGCAATATGTAAAGTAACATATCAGTAGCAACTTGAGTTTGTTCTAGAATACTCAAGTAGTTTGTAAGTATTTAATAATAATGCTTATTAAAAATGATGCTTATGCAATGATTTGAGCTTAATGGACTTGAGCACCTGATTCTTTTTTGAGTATCAAGCATACAGGTAATTTTGAAAAAGGTATCTAAATATACTATTAAAATTATATTTACTGGATGACAAATACACAATATGATTTTATTCCCAAACTGCATGAGAAAACTGCTGAAAATAAAACCATTTATTGTTTATTACTACAAATTTAACAGAAAAAAGAAAATATAGATAATGTAATAGCTCAAATGCTATCAATATTACAGCCTATAATATTCTTTTATACACATGAAGGAAAATGCATAGTTACAGGTCTTTTATATTTTTTGGACTTATTCTATATCTTTTTCTCTATTAAATATATTACAAGGCCAGCTTTTAAAACTGACACCTTAGTTTAAAATTGTGAAAATTTTATATGCTATTTTAGTTTATTTGCACAATTTGGAATCTATTTTCCCAGCACAACTTAACATTTATGTTCTCAGGTACAATTTTCATTTCATTTAAAGGAGATATAGACTTCTGAAAATTTTCTTCTTCTTTAATTGAAGACATGAGTGGATGAAGGGGATATTATGCAATTCGTAAATATTGAGAAAGTGGGGCATTAAGTTTTGTTACTTATTTTTTAGATATAACATTTTTTGCATTGTTTTTTTACTAACTAACTAGCTGCTCTCCGCGACTTTGCCCGCGTGTAATTTAGGGTTTTAATTATGTTGCGCGGAACCCTAATTCTTTTTCTAAAATATAAGTAGCCTAAGTTACTCCTTATAACATCAGCTATCTGCCATTGAAAGTCCCGTTGAAATCGGTCCAGCCGTTTCGGAGATTAGCCGGAACAAACAGACAGACAGACAGACCGACAGACAGACAAAAATTTTAAAAATTGTGTTTTTGTTGTAAATACCGTATTTAGTTTCATATGCATTTAATAAAAAGCTGGTATTTTGACATTACAAACAGACACTTCAATTTTATTTATTTGTATAGATTATGCATATAAGTTTCAGTTATATATAAATACTGATATGGAGAGAAAAAAAAACTAAATATAAGTGTAAGAGTATTTATTTATTTATTGGAAGAAACATGTACTTAACTCTTTCATTCATCGCTTACTTAATATGAAATTACAAACCTTAAGTAAAGATGAATGGGATATCTAGCATTAAAATAAGTAAAAAAATATTTTATGTAAGTTTGTCGTAGCCTTATTTCGATAATAGTATTGATAAACTGGTTTTACAAATTTTATCAGTTCTCTTATATTAGCTTTCTTTTCTTCAGAAATTGTTCCATATTTCCTACCAACACGTTCAACTTCATAAATTTCTACTTGACCTACCTTTTTTTAAAAATGTCCATCTTTATAAATTTATTCTCATTATCATCATTACAACCCTTCACAAGTCCTCTGCTGATATAGATCTCCCCCAAGAAATGCCACTAAGCACGGTCCTGAGCCACCTGCATCCATCGACTTTCTGTAAGTCTTACCAGGTCGTCACTCCATCTAGTAGAGGAGCCACCCCACACTACCCTTGCACGTACGAGGTTGCCATTCGAGAACCTTTCTTCACCTTCATTGACGGTTCTTTGAGCTATTTGGACGGCCCATTATTGCCTTTTCAGTTTACTAATTCGTTGGGCTATGTCAATTACTTTAGTTCTACTGAGGATATCCTCTCTCCGAGCATAGCCCTCTTCATAGCTCGCTGAACGACCTTGAGCTTCCTTATATGGCCATTAGTGATTGACCACGTTTCAGAACTATAAATCATCACTGGCAAGACACTGGTTGTATAGTCTTGTTTTCAAGTTTCGATGTATACTATATATATATATATATCTCCCGAAGGCTGCCCAGCCGAGTTAGTTTCGTCGATCGACCCTTGGACCCTCGGACCCGGACGAAGTTGGACTTACCTAGTAAGATGTTTGTTCTAAGTAAACATACTCGTCGGCAACTTCGAGCTTAGTGCTCCCAACAACTACCGGCAAAGGTAGTACATGGAGACGTTACACATGACCTCTGTTTTGCTCATGTTTATCTTAATACCTATCCATTAGGAAACACTATTGAGGTCATTGAGGATAGTGCTTAGGTCTTGCAGCGATTCTGCCATAAGGACCATATTGTCGGCAAACCAAAGATAAACGGAAATGGCGTTCAAGTACTGGGTTTTCACCCGCTTTCAGCAGCTTTGCTGTAATCCCATCCTCGCCCGGTACCTTGCCGTTTTTAAGGTGCTGGAGAATCATTGAAATCTCGCTCAGACTGACGTCCGTGATATCATCGGAATAGTGTCGGATGAGACTTACTCTTGGATGGTTACACTTGTGTGTGGCTATATCGGTTACGTGTATAGCTTCCCAACCTTATTCAAAATCTCAGGTGTCCCGGAAACGATATTACCACATCGGTCTTCAATGTCTACACTTGGCTTTTTTTGGCAGACAGATCTCTGGGAAAGGCTATGGAGCCTCAATTTTTCTCGATCGCTTCTTCAATATGAGCTGTATTGAAGTTGCATAAGTCTCACCGCATGCATTTGTAGATCTGGTTGTTCAGTTTCCTGTATGCTGTCATATCTGCTAAAGACTGCAGCTTCATTTCTCGTCTAATACCCATGACATTGAGAGTGTGATTGGAGAGTTTTTAGGTTCTTGTGTGACGGGTTTTGCTGAACTTAGCTGCGACTGCATGGGCAGTATCCACGAGATTGTCATTTATTCGTCCATTGCAATCTTCTGAAGTCACTGAAAATAGTTTTGTAATTCGAGCTGAATGTTTTCAGGGCTTTTGATTAGAGTACAAGGGTGCGCTCCGTGCATTGATTTCATTAGATGTTACCTCTTCAACTTAACATAAACGTTCAATGTGCCTCTTACAATTCGGTGATCGCTACCAGTTTTCACACTCGCGACCACTGTGCCATCACAGTTGCGATCTAGTCATTATAACGAAGTCAATCTCATTTATTGTAGAAGAGTCAGACTTAACCAGATCCACTTTGTGTGGAGCCGCTTTTGGAAAAAAAATTCATCATGAACAGTCTCTTTTTCTTCATGAAGTCGGCCAACTATTGACCTACCTTCAGCTCACAGTTCTCTTTTGTGCCTAGTTTTTTTGTTGAAGTCCCCCATTAACACCGTATCTTTATTCTGGGTAAATATATGTACCAATTTTTTTACCTCACATCGTAACATACTAAACGGTCATGGCATTGTTTGTATTGCTGAATGTAGATCTAGAAAAAAAATTAAAACCTTGTTTAAATAAATTCTAAATACCTTTTTAAATTATGTAAAATTATTCAGAGATAGAATAAAACACTTACCTTTGTGGAACGTTTTGAGGCCAGAAACGACATTATTTTGGTAATCATTGTGACACAATTTGTTGTTGTCAACATTTAAAACTTGAAAAAAAAATCATATGATGAATGTCTCATATGAAGGATTCGATCGAAAACACATCGAATCCTAAATCGCACTAACAAAGTTCCGAAGTTAAAGCAGCATATATAGAATAGTTCCGAACTACCAATCGGAGCGTTGGCTGCTCCCCGGGCAGAACACCTTGCCCGGCGGGAGATCTCCCCTTTTCCTTCCACCGGCTACAGTGGTGACCCCGACGTGATTTGAACACGCAACCTTAATATCTTATAACCTTCGGAAAATACAACTTCAAAAACATTCGTCATCGTCCTCAAGTACCCCATTCATTCGCTCCCGAGCAGATATTGTCTGCAGTCTTCACATTCTGCAAGCCATCTTTACAGAAGTTCATCGCAGCATTGGAATAATAATGCTTCCTGTTCCTTCAAGCTACTCTGCGCTACAGTGTTCGGCACGGCTCTGAGCCTTACTGCTCGCCTCTGCTTCACGGCACTCTCGCAGATTACTTGCTTTCTTCTCGACTCACCGCAGACTACAAGGCAATCCCTGGCACTTGCTCCGGCTCATCGTTCTCACCGGCCTCACTTGCAAGTGCGTAGTATGGCATGTATTACACACCGGCATATCGTTCGCATCGGCGTCACTTGCCCTTACGCACACAGCATGCATTCCCCACCGGCATTAAGGACGCACTGGTAATCGGACTGCACTATCGACCTCCGGTCTGAGCAGGGGGTGATGTGGCGGCGCTGTCGTCGCGCCACAAGCGAAAACACATCGAATCCTATATCGCACTAGCAAAGTTCCAAAGTTAAAGCAGCATATATAGAATAGCTCCGAACTACCAATTGGAGCGTTGGTCGCTCCCCGGGCAGCACACCTTGCCCGGCGGGAGATCTCCCCTTTTCCTTCTACCGGCCACAATAAACAAATGAGTGAAAGAGATAAGTACAAGACATAAAACATTCATGCATAAAAACGCAGTGCGAAGATGCGTTCGCACGCATTTACCTCCTTCATCCGCTCCTGGAAAACATAGATTAAAATATTTTTTAATTAAAGAATACGCCCAGTGTCCATAGTGTCCATATAACTTTCATTCACTGTGACATTTACACACAAATTTCCATTTTTCTTTGTACATATCTCCTTCATCACTTGCTATTTCTAAAACCAAGCTTTAATTGCGCTGTTTTATGATCTTTTGTAGACTGTATACACATGAAACCTTCTTTTATCAAAAAAAAATCTTAAAAATGTTACATAACTTTACACTTTCATCCACTCATGTCTTCAATTGTAATAAATAGTTGCAATATCACAATTTTTTAAATGGGGGTCACAGGCTAAGTATGTTAAAGCAATTTTCGTTTTTAAGGCGACATTGCAGCACCTTTTAACCTTCTTAAATCTACATTATAGTCTTTTTACATTTTTCTGCCCAAGAGCTTTTTCGGCGGAGAGCAGAATAAGATATAAGTTGATAAGTATATAAATTCCTTATTCATTTTCAGGTATCTAAAAGATTAAAAGGCCAGTGTGGTTTGCTAATGACAAATAGAGACGTTATTGAAGTACTACAGTGGTTTAAAGATTTTCGTGCAGCTGAATATGCACGGGCAGGATTTATTGCAACAAAGGATGTAATCTTGCCTCAAGGGCCACTTGAAGATTTTTCACACACAATAGAACCACATCTGAGAAGACTTGGGCTTCCAACGTCTTTGGAGAGAGGTGTCATTAATCTAATCAAAGAATACCAAGTACGTTTTTATGATTTGTATTTTATTATTTTATAAGCATTTTATTTATTTATTACATAAGAATTATATAGTATTTATTTATTTAATAAGAATTTCACCAAATAAATTTAAATGTGTCATATTTCTATTTATTAAATTTTAAATCAAATTTGTTTAAGGTGTGTAAGAAAGGAGTGGCTCTAACTCCTGAACAGGCTAGTATATTAAAACTACTAGGAATTCAAATGGCTAAGTTCAAACTTGTTATAAAATGCCATTGGACTAAAGGAAAAGGATTTCATAAAGATCTTGATGTTCTTAGTGATCAAGAAACCGATAATGAGAATGATAACGATGTGGTAGAAGATGAAGATATGGAAGAAGATGAAAGTTAATAAAAAATTGTATCAAATATATTTTAAATGTAACATTTTCTTTTATTGAATAAACTTGTAAATAGTGGAAACCGTTTACACTGAGCTATAATATATATTACATCTCAAACTAAATATTTTATCGATCGACCGAGCGATATTTTTATTTATTTATTTATGCTTTATTTGCACACCAAGAACAAAAAGGCGGACTTAATGCAACAGGGCATTCTCTACCAGTCTACCTCCAGGCTAAGCAGAGAAAATATTGTGGGTGCAAAGTACAAACAGCTAAGTAAATAATATCTATGTCTATATAATACATACAGTATATATATGTCGGAGCGTCTATAAAATATCACTTGGATCGAGGTGGACATGAGGGTATATCGAGAAACTTCCACTTGTTTGTGCAGTATAAAGTTCACTGTAGGTACCGTGCGCGAGAGATTCCGTGAGATTCTGCTTAAGTCATTCAACGAGTGTGGTCATTCTACTAGTGCTAAGATATTGCCGTGGTTCTGTTCGTTGTTTTAATTCTTCTATTTCGATTCTGGACTTTGTTGGTGCACAGATTTCAATGAAAGTTTCCTGAGTTGAATATTCATTGCTTATGAATTATGGTAAAGAGTAACAAAATTGAAATGAAATTAAAATTACTGTGTTGGAACTTGTTGATCGGACCTTCCACAATAAATCATGTTGTGCAGGAAGCACTGTGTACGAAGCCTTAATAACAAGGCATTGTCAATTCTGGACAGTTGACTATGGTATTTAGACTTAGGAGAAGTGAAGTACCATTTTGAATCGACCTTGTTTCTATTGGCAGAATAGCCGAGCTAGATTAATCTCTGAGCATATTTTGTCTCCAGGCACTGCAACCGAGGACGGATGCTAGTCAGGAATTGATGGCACCGGAGTGCAACAAGCAGCGCCATCTAACAATTAGTTTTTCGAACTAATAATATGTACCCACTAATGTCAGGATGGACGAGCGGACGAATTGGTGTTTGTTACAGGAATGCATAAAGATACACGCCCGAGGACGGTCGTACTTCAGGATGGCCGTGTCGGAGCGTCTATAAAATATCACTTGGATCGAGGTGGACATGAGGGTATATCGAGAAACTCCCACTTGTTTGTGCAGTATAAAGTTCACTGTAGGTGCCGTGCGCGAGAGATTAGGCTTAAGTCATTCAACGAGTGTGGTCATTCTACTAGTGCTAAGATAGTGGTTCTGTTCGTTGTTGTAACTCTTCTAGTACAGGCAAGGAAGATTGGTTTTGCTGAGAGGCTACCGTATTACATTGAGATAAGTAGTGTTGCTGTTGGTTTACATTTTTTTTTATTGAATTAGAGCAACAAACGAGCACACATTCCACCTGAATTTTATATATATATTAAATATAGCAGTTTCTGATTTCAACCTCCAATAACAAATGTAGAAATGAAAACCACAAACTAAATTTTCATATTATATTTCGCGGTGTGCGGGGTATAGATAGTAATCCAATGACGAACGCACACTGGTTGAAAGAAATATCTCACAGTGTGAAAGGCAATCGCGGGATATAATATATATTATATCCCATAGTGAAAATGTTGCCATTTACTCAAAATTGCAGTTATACATTACATTCAGAGCTTATTATTTTTAACATGTGTGCCTATACTATGTCAGTCTTTGATTTATGTCTGGTTTATAAAATGTAGGTACTCTGTGAGTTTAGCTACATAGTGACTAATGGCACGTATACGTTTACATTATACTACTCATGAAACTGGCGCAAACTGTCATTTTCCGCCAGTTACATGAGAAACAGGAGCCAATTTGTAGACTGGGCTGGTCAACTGTGAAAACCATACCTTACCAGGTCAGGAGTGAGTCAAGGTAGTAATTTAGGCCCCCTGAAATTTGTCCTAATGATTAATGATTTACCCGATGTTGTATGGCAATCAACATGTCTTCTATTTGCGGAAGACCTATAATTGGTGTCAATAGTTAAGGACTCGGCTGACTGTGGCAAACTACAGGCGGACATTGACAGAGTAGTACAATGGAGTCATAGGAATAAGTTATTTTTTAACACTTCCAAATGCTCAGTCATGTCGTTCACACATTCACGCCAGCCTTACACATACAAATATAATTTAGACGGAGTAGCCTTGCAGCGGGTAACAGAGGTAAAAGACCTTGGTGTTCACTTTACTTCAAAACTCAATTTTAGGGACCACATTCATAAGATTTGCAAGAAGGCGTATAGAAATTTAGGATTTGTGTTGCGTCAGTCGAGGGAATTTACAAATCTCTGTGCGGTCCGGGCCTTGTATGAAGCACTAGTGAAAAGTCACCTAGAGTGTAATGGCTTTATATGGAGCCCGCATGAAGCTAAGTACAAATTGATGGTGGAACGGATACAAAATAAGTTTATTCGATTTCTTTATTTAAAATTATATGGAGTGCATCCGTTCTACCCATTAATGTACCCAACATTATTTGTACTCGGCATGGTGGGGTATAACAAACTGGAGGTTAGGAGGGAGTTAAGTTTGGCAACATATATGTTTAAATTGCTGCGTGGAAAAGTATATAACGAGGCGATGTTGCGAATGGCTAAGTTGTGTGTGCCGAATAGGTACGTCAGAACTCTAAATAAAGTATCTCAGGGTATAGATTTATTCTGCTGTTCCTTGGGTGATTTCACAAAAGTGACGTTATATGTATTGTGTTATAATAGTAGATAAGTTGTGTTCTGTCCTTATTAAATTAGATAGTTTTATGTGCCTACACGGTCGTATTAGGAACGCCTGTAAAGACAGAGGTAGAAATAAATAAATAAAATAAATTATCGGTACGACCAACTAGCTGAGTACCCCGTAGAGTTATTCGTAGACGAGTACGACGCCTTTACTTATTGGTCTGTATTCATTCAACGTAGATCTTTTAAACATGGATGATGTGCGTCTCATTGCCACGACTTTGTCTACTCGATATTTATTCCGCACATCATGCTCCTCGTCATGCCCGTCGCTCCCTGATATGTCGGTTTTTTGGGCGCGAGTCAATGACTGGCAATATGAGCGCGAGTGGCTGGCCACATAATCGCGCGAACGCAGTCCGAATCGAGCGCTCGTTACGGAAGCGTCGTTCTAATGCGATGAATAGATGTCATCCACCATCTCTGTTAGCGAGGATGACGACGTATATTTATTTTTTTTCGCTGATATAATTAGCTATACTAAATATGCATGTAGCGCGGATGCTGCCACAGTTTCAACATCCATTGTGTTGCAAACGCGAGCGACCTAGTGCGGAGCGTCGCGAATCGCGATTATAATTGCGCAAGTAGAGCAGTATGTGGGCGCAGAGCGGTGAGCAGCGCGAGGAGCATAGTGTAGCGGAGCCTGTACAAACACTTCAGCACTTCGATATACCGACAGTCAACTTGGCATCGCTGAAGGGACTGCAGCACCGCCCAAATTTCGACGGAATCAAAGGCTTTCTCATAGTCCACATACGCCAGACGTAGTGGCAAATTGTACTCTTCGGACTTCTGTACAATTTGCCGAAGGTTATGTATGTGGTCTATGGTGCTAAAGCCCTTTTGGAAACCGGCTTGTTCGGGAGGCTGGAAGTCGTCAAGTCTGCGCGCGAGACGATTCGTAAAGACTCGCGAAAACAGCACGTAGACGCGGCTCAGAAGGGAAATCGGTCTGTAGTTCTTCAAGACAGCGTTGTCACCTTTCTTGAAGAACAAGACCACCGCACTTCTGCTCCACGCCTCCGGTGTAATGCCACCATGGAGGACGGAATTAAAGAGTTTCTGAAGGACTTCAACAAGTACCGGTCTTCCACCCGCTTTCAGAAGCTCCGCTGTAATTCCATCCTCGCCTGGGGCCTTGCCGTTTTTAAGGTCCTGGAGAGCCATTCTAATCTCGCTCAGACTGACGTCCGGGATATATTCGGAATAATGTCGGATGAGACTCGCTCTTGGATCGTTACTCACACTTGCGTGTGGCTCCAACGATGACGTGTACACCTGCCCATAGAAACTCTCAATCTCACTCAAAATCTCAGGTGTCCCGGAAACGATGCTGCCACATTCGGTCTTCAGCTTTGACAGTTGGCTCTTTCTGGCACACAGATCTCTGGCAAAGACTTTGGAGCCTTGGTTCCGCTCGATCGCTTCTTCAATACAAGCTGTATTGAAGTTGTGTAAGTCCCGCCGCATGCATTTGGAGATCTGTCTGTTCAGTTGCCTGTATGCTGTCAAATCTGTTGAAGAATGTAGCTTCATCTCCCGTCTAACAACCATGAGATTAAGAGTGTGATCGGAGAGTTTTTGTGTTCTTTTGCGGCGGGTCTTGCAGAACTTAGCTCCGACCGCATGGACAGTTTCCACGAGCTTGTCATTCATATCGTCCACTTCATTGCAGTCTTCTAGGCAATGAAAACGGTTTTGTAACTCGAGCTGAAAGGTTTCGGGACTTTGGAACAGAGCACGAGGGGGACGGAGCGTTGACTTCATTAGAAGCGACCTCTCCAACTTAACATTTAGGTTCAGTGTGCCTCTAACGATTCGGTGATCGCTACCAGTTTTCACCCACGCGATCACGGAGACATCACTGAACAGTTGTCGTCTGGTCGTCATAATGAAGTCAATCTCATTTTTTGTCGAACCGTCGGGGCTCGACCAGGTCCACTTCATGTGGGGCCGCTTCTGGAAGAAAGAGTTCATCATAAAGAGTCCCTCTTTCTCCATGAAGTCGGCCAGCTGCTGGCCCCTTGGGTTCCGTTGCCCTATTCTAAATTTCCCTACTTTCAGCTCACCGTTCTCTCTTGTGCCTAGTTTTGCATTGAAGTCTCCCATTAACACCGTATATTGGGTTTTGGAGGAATGCATGGCTCTAGAGATATCCTCATACATTTCCTCCACCTCCTGATCGGGGTGTGCCGAGATTGGTGCGTAAACCTGTATGACTTTCAGCGAATACCGTTTGGTGATTCTGAGTATAAGGTGCGCAACCCTCGTCGACACACTCCCGATCTTTACAACGTTGTTAACGAGAGACTTGTGGACGATAAATCCGACACCTCCTTGGGACAGATGGTCGCCCTCCCAATGATAGAGCAAGTTGCCGGATTCGAGGATTACAGTGTCCTCCCCCTCTCTTCGGACTTCGGATAATTCTATAATATGCCAGCGCAACTTGTCTATCTCTTCTTCCAGCTCCACGATCTTCTCGTCAGTCGTCAGGGTGCGTGCGTTGTACGTTGCCAGGTCGAGTCGTCTAAGGTGGCAACCGAACCTCCACCGGAGATTCTTAGCACCCCCTGCCCCGCCGTTACCATGGTCGCCACCGTAGCCAGGAATAGCGGGGCCGCCGGGGACTGGGGGCCGTCTGTTTGTTGCTTTGATCATTGGGGGGTGTTTGCCGTAGTTGCCACGCTTGGCGAGCGGGTTGGCAACCGCAGTTTTTTTATTGTAATTTTAGCTATTATCAGGAAGATGCTGTTGCCCATCTCCTGCCTGTTTCCCTTTGTCGCCTTTTACTACACCCACGGGAGGATATGGGGTAGTGGATATTCTTGACCGCCACTACACGGCAACTATTTTTAGTATCTGTCCTAAAATTAAATAAAATCCAGTTAAAATATCTTTTTGACAGTATCATCATCATCATTATTACGGTCCTCTGTTTTCTTATGTTTACGCGACCACTACACATTTACGAGTAGATAAAACTAGTTTTTAAGGCAGCCGATTTCTCTTCAAATATGAGTACGTACCGTTTCCGAAAGTCATTACTAGTCGTCTTTTTGTTAATCATTCTATCGTACCGGCTAAGTGTATACCACATTCAGCATGCTGCAATGGTGTAAGATGTTTACTCCAGTGTAAATCCGGTAAGTAGTGATAATTTTAGGTTTATTTTAATTGAAACACTTTTTAAACGTAAAATGTCTGGGTTTTTTTTAATAATGAATCACAGAAACAATAAATTATTCTCATTAAAATCTAAGACATACAAAATTAATAATAAATCAACTAAAACCGATGATCAATTATGAACCTATTCAAAATCTTAATTAAAAATTACAAAAGTTACACTATTAAAAACCAACTAAGTTAAGAGCTAGAATCGAACTGGGGCTATGCCTCCGAATGTAATCTAGTTCGGTGTAAAATATGTAGTTTAAAATAAAAATAACTTAGCATACATCATATAATCACAGTACAAAAATAAAGCATTGCTTCATCAATCGACGACATCACAGCTTGTTAGCAAATCATATATAACATTATGCAATCTATGGAATAAACAGTCTTTTAAATAAAGTAAATAAAAATATTGTAGTTTGAGGTTAACAAATATAAGTGATCTTCACACAGACAATATTAGGGTTCGTCTATTCAAACTGTTATATCCGGAAGACCCAAAATTTTATGTTAATCGCTGTGATTATATTAAGATAGTTGCCACCAATTCACAAAGACCAACTATGTTGACGAAAATGCATGGAAAGGAACTAACGGGGCAACCGTGGATCCTTATTGCAAAGTGAGGCTGAGATCACATATCACAGCATGCTTTATATTTACCATATCATCGAACATTTGACAAACAAGTGTATTTAATAATATAAACTATCAAACCCTAGTCGTACACTTGCACTTCAAAAACTAACGGAATTTAGCATGTAAGGTAAAATAAAACATTTTAATTACATTATAAAAAATATAATGAAAACTTCTGTCAATTTAGCAATCAAATAAGTAGGTATTTGGGTATGTATGTATATATATAATTTACTGATGTCAAACATTATTTTAAAACACACATGCTAACAATTAATGCTTCTAAAACTAATCGGCAGTCCATTTGCCGTGAACTAGCACTGATGTACCGCAGACATTTTTTTTTATAAATGAGCAGCGAGCAATTCACTAGAAAGCCTAAAACTTAAAAAGCTAAAGAATGTTAAGTGCGAAATTTAGTATCTATGTGCCTCTATCATGTTCCACTAGTTATAACTACTAACACTAAATTCTTGAAATAATTCTTTAAAATTGTCTTAAAATTTTAACTAAAATTGTCACACAGCACATTGTAAATATTTACATTTCTATATTACTTTAAATTAAAGTAAAGGAAAATTCGTAGTATCGAGAGTAATATTTGTATATTGAGAAGTGTATTGAGAAATATTTTTGTATTTTTCATAATCCGCTAATGGATAATGGCCCGCCCTTTCAAAAGCGCTCTTTAATTTATGTGTATTAAATATCTATAATGCTTCTCAAAAATTAATCAATGGTCAAATATGATGATGTAATTAACTAACAATTAATAAGCACAAGAAATATTTTTATATTCCAATCCTACATATAAATTAACACCTTGTTAAACAGATATCTTAGATAAAGTTTGAAATAAAAATATATATAGGGTTGCCGACTTATTTTTGATTAAATAGAGCAAAATGTAAACTCCGTAGATATTTAATTTTTTATTGCCATTAGCAAAATGAATAAATTTATATAAGTACGTAAATAGTGCTTTAACGTACTTTGTCGTGAATTGTAGTGTCTTCTTAGTACATGAAATAGAGTGCAATAGTCTTTTTTATAGTACAGGTGGCAATTGGCAACGTATGCCGTGATTAGTAAGTACACTCCACGCGTGGAAGGTTGTCCGATAATCATCTAATTCGTCTCAGTTACTACCGCTAGCACTTTACGTGACGTTATAAACCCTTGGAAACCGTTTCACGCACGAGCTACAATATGTGTAAAGTTTGGTTATGTTTTGGTGGGCGGTGTGTATAGTGTTTGTTTCAATATTTGGTAGTGTTTTGGTGGGTGCTATCTCTAGTGTTTGGTGGTTTGTTGGTGGGCGGGCTGTAGCGGCGGCAGTTGGAGGTCGGGCAGCGGGTCGCGCCAGTACACCGCGTGCGAGAACTCGCCGCTCGGCTCGCACAGCGCGGGCGGGAACACCTGGTCCACCAGCACCGACATGTGCGAGTACCTGCACCATAACGTTTTTACTCGCAACTGTATATAATCACAAACATTTCAATGTTGCGTACTACCTTTACTTTTACAATATTGGGACAAGGATGAGTTCTGAACACACGGTGTTTGTTTTATTCATTGGGACAGATGGCATTACGTTAGACTGCGTAGTTCAAAAGTATCATCGTCATTTCTGCAAATGATCTAATAGTAAGTTAGTAAGTTAATAGATTAATAGCTTGTTCAAACGAACTTCCCCATTGTGAAGTTTCTCATTAGTGATACGAGTCTCTTCATTTTTCAGATATTATTTGCTTACCAGGTAGGTTTTAGAGCAAAAAGCAGATCCCGTGGACGAGTATTGCGTGTATCATATTGTGAGAGCAGAACATGCTGACATACAACATATTTACTTAACTTTTTCACAGCACCGGTATGATCCATCTACTGATGGTCTTGTTATCAGGATGTATGTGTGGCAATTTTCATCATCATCATCATCATTAAAACCCTTCACAAGTCCACTGCTAAAAATAGACCTCTGATATCCATTTTAGTTTTATAAAATACTAGCTGGTACCCGGCGCATTGTTACCGAAAAAAAAATTGAGGAAATATCGTTTTAAATATGGAACAGTTATATTGTTTAATTAGGAATGATAATACAATCATTGAAATTGAATGTCTATAACTTTCAAATAAAATATCGGTACGATACGCGCGCCACGTAGTGTAAAGAAGTGCAAGCAATAAGTTGAGAAAGTTTTACCGCGATCTCATGAACGGTATGGCAGCGCATAAAATACGAACAAACAAATATATATTAGATAGTCTCAGTACTGAGAAAGAAGAAATTTAAATATTTGTTCTTTACTTATTTTTTCAGGTTCTGAAAATAGTATATTCTCGGACTTGATTTCGGAAGGTAAAAATGCAAGCATTTTATGGCCAATACTAATTTTGAGTATAGTAGATAGCAAGTCGTCATCCTAGTGACTACTTCTTAGCAACTTTTTCGAGTGTTATATACAAAATAGGAGACCATGCTTAAAATTAATTAAGAATGATGAGTCTAATGAGTTTCGATTTGTTTGCGCCCTTAAGTAAACGCTTGACACAAGCCTGACGGTTTATGTTATGCTATATATACCTAAGTCAATTAAGTACTGGTTTTCCGAATCATTGTTTTTAAGGTCCTATCAGAATGATGAAAGTAGTCTTTGGTATTTACGAATGAGCAGATCTAATATAGAATTCGCGTTAGGCCTTAAAAGTGGCGTTAATTTTATGTTTCTGTCATTGCCCATGGCTGGTGTTAAATCTCCCTTACATAAAATTACATTTATTAATTTGGGTTATAAAGATAATTGTATATATATATATATTTATATATATTGAGGGTATTCGATAAAAAACTTTTATTACAGCGCGTTTTTAATGCGTTACTATTATTTGAGATTGTACGTTTTTTCCACTTTCTTGTCATCGTCGGATATGCATTTTCATTCCTAATGTGGAATATACGAAATTAGATTTGGAAATTGTCAAAGCAATTGACTCTCAGTCACCTCTGATGAATTTTCCTTCCATGTAATATGGACAGGAATTTGGTTATGGCGCATGTCAAAATATAAAAAAAATTAAACAGTATAATAAGAAGAATAAATAGATTATCACTTTTGTGAAATATAAAATAAACTTATTTTTGCTTTTCTTCGTGATTCGGTAATGAATTAAGCTGGATATACGAGTAATTTACATCTTTCTTTTCAATTCTTTAAATATTTAATAATACATTTTGTCCTGCGCACTTGGTTATGGCACCGTGACCAAAAGACTCGTGTATTAGATTAGATAGTATTGCGATTTTTTTTTCTTTAAAGAAGAATGAACAACTATCAAGACAAGACAAGTAATGGGCGGACCGGAAGTTAACTTTAAATTAGTCAGTTGTAAATCTTTAAACAACATGCTAAGTTGCCTAGTAAGTTAGATATACTACCTGATAAGCAAATCATATCTGAAGAATAAAGCGAGAAAGTATAAATTAAACTTAACACATTTTTATATTAAGATATATTTTAAGTAGATTTTAGTTAATTTATGCATTTATAACGTCATACCAGAACAGATCTTAGAATTAAGCGCCTTACAAAAATGCGATACTCCTCTCTACATGGAGAGGCCCGTGTCCAACGATGTACTTTTGCAGGCTGATGATGAATTAGCATTTACCCAACCACCAAGCTTAGAATTATTATCGTTATAATATAATGTTAAGTAACAAAACACAGTTCGGCTTATTATTTAAACAAGCCAATTAAACCCGCACACACACAGAGACACACACACAAAAGTAAAATTATAAATAATGGTGTGCATAAGTGGAAATAACAGTGCCGATACTAATCGCAGAACATAGATGAAACAAAGCAGGGACTGTTTACGAATTGGCTAGTTGTCATCGTCATTAATAAATTACTACATTATATTATGTACTATAATTTAAAAAAAATTAAAGGTAGCAAATTAAAATTATATTTGCTACCTTTACTTTGAACCTTGGTTAGATTTTTTATTTTGGAAGTTAAAATAGATTTTTCTAGATATACTGTATATAAATAAGATACTTATTAGACTTCAAGAAAGTATACTAATATATTTAGCTGCTAATTTTTTAAATAAATAATAACGGCAAGGTATTAATGTTATTATAAGTAGCGGCACGAAATTCTAGCGGTGACCGTTATTGTATAATGTATATAGTCCTTATGGCAGAATCGCTGGAGTTGCTAAGCACCATGCTCAGTGACCTCAATAAAGTCTCCCAACGGATAGGTCTTAAGATGAACATGGACAAAACAAAGATCATGTTTAATGTCCATGTTACACCTATGCCGGTAGTTATTGGGAGCACTAAGCTCGAAGTTGTTGACGAGTATGTTTACCTGGGACAAATAGTCCGACTAGGTAAGTCCAACTTCGACCGAGAGGTCAATTGACGGATTCAACTCGGCTGGGCAGCGTTCGGGAAGCTACGACACATCTTCTCGTCAGACATACCTCAAAACATTAAAACGAAATTGTACAACCAGTGCGTGTTGCCAGTGATGACTTACGAATCTGAGACGTGGTCCTTCACTGCTGGCCGTATGAAGAAGTTCAAGGTCGCTCAACGAGCTATGGAGAGGGCTATGCTCGGGGTATCTCTGCGTGATAAACTCAGAAATGAGGATATCAGCAGTAGAATCAGAGTAACCGACATAGCCCAACGGATTAGTAAGCTGAAGTGGCAGTGGGCCGGCCATATAGCTCGAAGAACCGACGACCGATGGGGAAGAAAGGTACTCCAGTGGCAGTCTCGTACCGGTAGGCGAAGTGTAGGGCGACCCCCCACGAGATGGAGTGACGACCTGGTAAGACATGCAGGAAGTCGATGGATGCAGGTGGCTCAGGACCGTGCTTTGTAGCATTTCTTGGGGGAGGCCTATGTTCAGCATTGGACTTATGAAAGGCTGTAATGATGATGATGAGACAACTCAATTGCGTTGTCTTTGGAATGGAAAGAAGGCTACAACCTAGTGAAAGTAGAAAGGTGACAATAATAGATCTAGATCTGAATAGGAATTCATAACATATAAAATTTTGTTCTCATTCTGGGATTGCCTCTTTGCTTCTTACTATGAGATATTATATTAAATATTGGTATGAAATTTTTGACTGTTAACCAATTACAAATAAGGGTTATTTTATTTAAACGTCTATGAAGAAAAGAATTGTGTTAATTCACATAGTAAATTATTACATCAGAACCAACTCCAATTCATAAACAATCTCCTTTCAATAATATATACAGACAAAACAGATGACAAGTCGATGATTACTGAACGTTATTAGTTGAAATTATTATATTTGTAAGAAAGTTATTTTTAGATTCATGATTTTGAGATGACTTCGCGGTGTCAAAAGTGACAAGCCCCTAGGATCATGCCGTATATCTTACCGGCAACGTGTCGCGCTCTTTAATCCAATTGTTTTTATACAAAATTAAATCTACATTCAACACTAATTCCCCGCTAGCTTTTAACAACGTTATCACGTTTCAGTGGCGGGAAAAAATCATCGACCATGTCACTTTGCACGTGGTAACTGAAATAGAAATAATTCAACTTAATACATTGTACATATATATATATCTGTTAGGTAACAAAAGGCGTGAGATATGGATTTGTATCGCGGTGCTAATTGATGGTTGATATGATGTGAATAGGGCACTTACGTCGACTGGAATGTTTGCGTCAATTCGTGTTTCAGTTCGCCCTTGTAGTTGATGGTGAAAATTCTCACAATTGGTATGCCGACAGCTTGGTACGCGCAAACATCCTGTGGATAAGTAGTATATATTGTTTATATATTAGAATCGCAGTTTATATAGTAGAACCATACAAATTTATTTTTATAATTAATATTGATCTGGTACCATTTGACATTAATCTCGTACTAAATATTAAGTATTATAATATTTATAATATTCAGGTTCGTTTAAGACTATTCAGGGGCCCTAGGGTACCTAACCTAACCTTTTTATGGTTAACTTCATACATAACAAATTATATAGTATAAAAATATTTAAGTTTCAATATTTTGAGGCCCTGTGTTCAGACCGGGGGTCTTGGGCTCGTTGCCTTCTATGCCTTTAGGATAAAGATAGTACTTTAAAAAATAATATCATAATGACTTCTTATATTTATGCGTACACTACTAAACGTTAAATGAATTTAATTTTAGAATTTTATCGTGTTTAATTTTTATGTTGTCGCGTTTAATTTTGTTGTGTTGTGTTTTGTCGTGACGTTGAAAGTACCCGAAACGTCGCGAAGTAAAACGTCAAAATTAAACTTGATAAAATCTGTAAAATTAGTTTCATTTAATTTAAGTATCACTAAATTTTTAAACAAATTATGGTCGCAAAATTATGATTGATTTATTATTATTTTGCTTGTACTAAATCCACAAGATTTTAATTCAAAGTTTAGCAAAGTTTAATATAATATTATTGGTGATATGAATATAAAAATTATAGTATTTTTAATTATTTGAGAAAAGTATTTGAAGTATTTCAAATACAAAAATCAATTAAATCGCACAAAATTACGATTTGCAAGTGCATCATATTAATATTTCAAAGAAACCGACAAAAAAAACTAGACATACGTTGACTCTATTCCCGTAGCCCGCGTAGAAGGGGTTGGAGCCGTGCGGGAACAAGGCCTTGATGTCGGCGAGGCACTGTATCTTGAACTCCTCGGGCTTCTTCTCGATGACCTCGCGGTGGAAGGCGCGCAGCAGCGACGTGGGGTTGAGCAGCAGCGGCCCGTCGGGCAGGCACAGCTCGCCCTGCCGGATCGAGCGCAGGTACTCGCGCGTCACCTGCGCCGCACACACACACACACACCCATCACATATCACATTCTCCTCAGTCTCCCTAACTCTACTATATTATTATAATACAATCCTTTTTTAACCCCCGACGAAAACAAAGGAGTATTATATGCTTCCAGTCAGAAACTATGTATATGTGTATCTGTGTGTCTGTCTATGGCATCATAACTCCTGAACGGATGAACCGATTTTGATTAAATCTTTTTTTGTCTGAAAATTGCCTTAATCGAAAGTTTTCTCAGCTATGTTTCAAGAAATTCTGTTCAGCCATTTGAAGATCTTCAGTTATTTTGCTCCGGGGATTTTGAAATATTTTATTTTAGTTATTTATATCGAGAAATGCCTATGTATACCCGCTTTAGGACGGGTTATGTCAGACTCGCACCGACTAAAATCCTATGGTGTTCCACCTTTGCCACATATTGATAAAGCCACGGTAACGCTTTTACATATATCCTCGGCCCCACCGGCACCGGTCCCGTCCTCGTGAGAGGACTACTACAGAACATTTTTACGTGATAGAGCCACGCTCCAGCTATATTATGGTAGTAGCACGAATGGGTCGGCTCGACCGGGATAGGTACACGCTCTCACAGAATGCAAGCATAAAATGGCAGCTTAATGGTGCTGTGTTTCGTATGGTAAATGTAGAAAACCGGCCACCCTTTTTACTGGCTACGAGGCATTCCACCTCCGTCCTCAAGGGTTAAACGCATCTGAGTTTTGATTCTTAATTGAGCATAAATGTTAATGTCTGTGGACTGCAGCATCCACAAGCCATCAGGTGGACTGTGTACTCGTTTATCACCTTTATTCCATAAAAAAAGAGCACATGGTGCGCCGTCCCCCGCAGCCTTCAACTTCACCTGCGCTACGTACGCCCCCCGTGTTCAATGGCGAAGACCGCGGCCAAGATACGTTAGTTTGCCAACTTTACTATATAATAATATTAGAATCCTATTCTCAACCCAACATACGCTGCACTTATAATAGGGCTAGCTTGACCGAAGATGGACCACGCTCTCGCAGAATACAAGACGAATAATATAGCAATATTTTAAAAATTACTTATATTATTCATACACAAATGAACTTCGTAAAAGAATAAAGGAAAAAAAATGACAAATATTTATTTATACTTAATAACATATTTTATTATATACTAGCGATCTGCCCCGGCTTCGGACGGGTTATCTCTGGATCACCTATCGGGTCCAAATATGAATCACCATGTAGGGACTAATTTAAACACACAAAAAATTTGAGGTCGAGCCGTTTTTGAGTGTTAGCGAGAGTAACGGACAGCAATTGATTTTTATATATAGAGATTATATTGTCAACCTAAAGTCCAGAGGTAAAGCATGCCTAAGATACCCGAATTAAGCCGTGTATGTTGCGCGATTTTGTGGTTTGGAGTATAATGTTTTGGATTTTTGAAGTTACTGTACACCGGCTGGCTGTATGAATCTCAATAAATAAATGTTTCTACAAACATGAATAATGGAGGTGAAAAGTACACAGAAGACAGTAGAAATTCAAAATAAACTTAAAATTTTCGAAAACGAGAAAAAGTCACTGAGACAATTCCGTCTAGGTTTTTTTTTAACATGCCAGTTTCATCACCGGTTTATCTTGTTAATTTTATTGAGCTATCTCTAGAGCGTCATACTTAAAATTGCGAGCCAAAGCATAATAGATCTAAAAATTCATTTTTTAAATCATATAGCAGCTTAATGATGTATTTCGTATGGTGAATGTAGAGAACCAGAGACACTCCTTACTGAAAACAAGACATTCCATCCTAGTTCTCAGAGGTTAAAACTCATCTGCCTTTTTATTCTTAACCGAGGATAGATGTAGATGCCTATGCGCCGAAGCATCCACTTACCATCAAGCGGACAGAGTGCTTGTTTGCCACCCTTATTCTTAAAAAAAAACCACGAAGGTTAGACGAAGTGCTGCGGAATTTCGAGTGATATCGAAACCATGATCAACGTTTTGTGAGTTGCTAATGTTTTAGATGCATATGTGTACGTAATTCCTTATAATAAGTTGTGTACGTTACACCTAAGATGCTGCTGTTGATAGTATAAATAAAATATGCTGCTTGAGGTAAAATAGAAAATATATTTAAAAACTGCTAATAGCTAATGATGAGTACACGAACGCGCTGTGAGGCGATGCTATGTGAACTTATTCGATGAACAATAAAAATAAGCATATGAGGTAAAAATGCTGATCGAGCGATTTGTGCGGTTGCACCGTACAAGTTGAGCATGGTTTTGGCTATACTTTTTATCTCCTGCTATATCGAGTCCGGGTATTTATAAAAGAAATTAAGCTTAAGCAAAACTATTATATTTTATTAAACATTTTAATATAATGATTCTATTTATAAAAGCTCAAAGCAAAAAGCAATGTTCCTTTAAAATTAAATATTTTATTTGAAACATCCCTACGGGTAGTAGCTTCGGAAATAATTTTTATTTTGATTTAGAAAATTTAGCAACCCTTGTAGCCAAGTAACACGTGTGATTCTGCATACCGTACCGCCACCTATAGTAAAACAAGGTTTATGGTCTGATGCAACCACGATAATACAAAGTATTTTAATAAACCGATTTTAAATTATTATCAGACCTGATTAAAATCGATATGACTTAAATACTGTTTCGATAAATTATCGGAAAAATTAGTTATCTAACTTAGGGCTGATTTTTATACGATCGATAAAAGTTATCTATCAAATAAATTATAACCCGTCTGATTATAAAAGTGCAATAATGGAACTATTTTATTTAAACAACTGTAGTTTATAATGTGTTTATGTTGTTTCCTATAAATAAATTTTATCTGAGGATTGAAAAATCGGTTCTTAGAAAATTTGTATTATTACATAAATTATCTAGCTTATTATTATTATTATTTATAAAAATTCAACTGCAGTGATCTATTGCGTTAAAATGGCAGGTCTTCGGAATTTACTTTTAAAGTTTTCCCACGGTTGCTTTAATACATGAATTAATTCAGAATGTCGTTAACCCGTGTGTCTAATTTCGCCCAAATCTATTTGACTGTCTCTGTGTGACTGAGTAAAGAACCTCATAACATTTTATAATATTCGTATGATTAAAAGAAGTTAATAACGTTTAAAAAATTAAATATTTATAATTATTTTTACACAAAAGCTCTGGAATTAAAGATAAAGAAATGTGACCGCTGTCATAAAAACTATAATCATATAGATAATCATAAAAACTTAAGTATTAAGAAAATATATTTATTGATCTAATTATTTACAAAATAATAAAACAGATTCACTTACCCGAGCCTGGCCAATAGCTCTAGCAGAAAGATAGAGTAGTTGATAGCCATTGTTCTTGATCTTGGTGAAAAGTTGCGCCACACCAGACTGAGCCCAGTCTTTCCCTACCAGCGGGAAAATGTGACCAAGGACATCTGACCTGTACGATTTAATCTAAATTAGCTTACACACATTTGCTTTTCTATACTTATTGTTACCTTATAATATACGCGACAATAGGTCTAAAAAAGCAAATACAACAACAAAGTTATACTTCCGCAGTGAAAACCAAAATTTTTGTAACTTAAATAAAGTTCAAATTAGTTTAAAAAATATTTATTTTGCAAACTCTTCTCGATGTTCTGTGTGATGCCTTTTGACTTTTACAGCTTCATCTGACTCAGTGCTGAATAGCTATATAAAAGCGATTGATAATTATGATGATGATAAGGATGAAATTTTGGTTCATAACCAATCGTCAGATCACCCGTAGAGCGTTTGCAAGATAACCGAGCAGGCAGATTTATTTATATGTCACGAATAACATTTAATTAATTTAAAGATTGTGATATATATTTTGTAAACTTTTTTTAATTCCAAATATCGGAGATCGTACGTTATAGTCTGTGGAATAAATTTCTTTCGTCAAAGCAGCCCTAATATTATATAGCAGCATTAATAGTTCACTGATGGGAATGTTCCACCCACCTCGCACATTTGATGCAGAATAAATTTATCATAGTATAATATATATTTTAACTTAACATAGTAAGTTAAAACGGGGTGATTACTTGGTGATGGTGCCGTCGATGTCCGAAATGACGACTTTATCGTCGTGTCTCCAGCGGAACACGTTGCATTTGCAGCGCGTGGTGCCTTGATACGCCGTCGTCACACTGAACACCATCTCGTTCATGCCCTCGCGCAGATTCAACTTTCTCTGAACAATAGAACTACTTATGAACAAAATACCACTCTCCTAAATGTATATGGGTGGGGCTCACAAAATTTGTACCACAACGCTCTAGAAAGAGTAACACACAAAATCGTAAGAAAAACACTGGAAATTATGTAACACGCTAGAACTATGTAAAGGCAGGACTATAATTATTGTACTAGAACTTATTAAAAATCTTACCATATTTACGAGTGCAAATAATATTATTATAAATATTGGCATTAATTCTTAGTTGTTTTTGTTCTGACTCATACCCAAACGGAAATGAACATCACTCAAATTGTAACGTTTTGTTAAACCTAAAGAAGAATTTTATTTCCATATTAATGTTAGAAAGAAAAATGGCAGACTTTCATACATAAAATTAGTTGACAAGGAACGGTAGCGTCTATATATCAAAAATATCTTAAAATGTTAAGCGTCAGTCCCTGAATAACTTTGTCAAAGAATTTTGTCCTGAGAAGGCGTCAAAAAAAGATATTTAGATTTGAACCTTCTTAGGTTATGTCTTATGTCGCTTGGAAAAAGTCATGCGTCCTGTGGTTGTTTGATAGTAGCTTAATACATTCTCAACATAATTAAGACCTACATAATTGAGAGTTTTTAGATTATTGTATCTCTATTATGTATGGGGGAGGAAGAAACGGCAGCCCATGTGCTACTGAAATGTCCGGAGGTCGCTACATACAGGGCTAAACATCTCCGCACGCCGGGATCACTCCCCGAAGTTGCATGATCTCATGGTTCGAATAATCACATTATTCCTGCCTACACGCAAAATACGCACATAGACGTGGAGTTGCGGAAAACAGCCCGTTCTAAACTAAAATAACCTCCATTATATATTTGTATACTATAAATGTATATTTCTGGCATGGCTCCAAGGTCTTTGTGTCATACAGGGACATTCTCAGAAGGGCTAGAACCCAGAGCCGTAAAGCAAGTAAAAAACAGTGACATTTTATTTTAGCTAGTGTTGCCATAACATTAAATGGAATTGTTACATAGTACTATGATTGAGATAATGTATCATTGTAGAAAGTTCTTTGTAAGACACTTATTTTCAACCATATCACTTTTATTTTTATTATTAGTATAGTTATTACTAATAATAACTTAATATAAAAATATTTTATGTTTGTATGTTGTGTTGGTAGTCTAACAAAGTGTATACGAAAATAGTATGAATATACAGGGTGGGGCAGCATAACTTCCTTATTTGTAATGCGCGCCATTCGGTCAGGTGACATCGTAGTGGAGCGCTAGTGGTCTCGTTCGAGAGGGGGGGCTATAAAGTTTAGTCGAGACAGCTCAGTCGCCATAATGCGTTGGAACAGTAAGGAGCGTGCGTTTGCTGTTGAGGCTTACTTTTCGCGCGGATGTTCTGTGATTGCAACTCAGCGCGCCTTTCGAAATCGCTTTAATTTAGCCCCGTTGGCCCCTGTTCCAGACCGAAAATCAATTGTTTTGTGGGTCACTACGTTTAGACAAACTGCAAGTGTGACAAAACGAAGAACTGGAGTCCCTCGGCCCATTAGATCACCTGAGAACATTGAGGCAGTCAGAGCTTCAATGTTGCGATCACCACGGCGTTCTGCGCGCAAACATGCATCTGCCCTTGGACTTTCCAGTCGTTCTGTGCGGAGAATTCTCCATGAAGACTTACATTTCCATCCATACAAGATGGCGACTGTACAGGAACTGTCAAAACGTGACTACGATTCTCGCAGGAACGCATGTGAGATTCTTCTGGATGTCGTTCCTGAGGACGCTATTGTTTTTTTTAGTGATGAAGCACATTTTCACTTGTGTGGATCCGTGAACAAACAAAACATGCGCTACTGGGCTGACACCAATCCTCGAGAATTGCATGAAAGGCCTTTGCATTCACCTAAGGTCACAGTGTGGTGTGCAATTTCCTCAGCTGCAATTATTGGTCCCTGGTTCTTTGAGGAAAATGAAGTCACAGTAACAGTGAATTCGGGCCGGTATGTAAACATGTTACAGGAATTCTTTTTACCCCGGCTGGATGCGTTGGACTTGGGAGACATTTGGTTCCAACAAGACGGTGCAACGGCACACACTGCAAGAGCATCGATGGCTGTTTTGAGAGAACACTTCCCAGAACGCCTTATCTCAATCAGGGGCGATTTGCAGTGGCCGGCCCGATCTCCCGATTTGTCCCCTTGTGACTTTTTTCTATGGGGTTTTTTGAAATCCCGTGTTTATGTGAACCGTCCAAGGACCCTACAAGATTTAAAGAACAACATCCAGGAAGAAATTGCCAACATAACGCCTGCTCTGCTTCAAAGAGTTATGACAAACACCAGAAATCGGTATACTCAATGTATAGAGAATAAGGGACGTCATCTACCTGATTTGATCTTCAAAACTAAATAAAACAAAACTTTAAGTATGTACTTACATTGTAAAAACCAAATAAAATTTTTCCGATTCATACAATGTGTTTTATTAGGTTTTAAAAAAAGGAAGTTATGCTGCCCCACCCTGTAGTAAATGGCAACACATGAATAGAGTAGAATGATTTAAGTCATTTGATATTCCTAAAAATGTATGTTTTTTTCTGTGGCTTAAAAAATACTTTAAATTAGGGGTAAACAGATGGCAAGTTACATTTTTTTTGAGCCCCACCCATATAAAAAGCAAAGTAAAGATTTTATCTGCAAAATAATGACCTTCAAACACTGTCACGAATCAACACAAATTCAATTTAAAGCGACATTGAAATGTAAGCGTTGTCTTGTGTCACGTACTTAAAGATCATTACAGCTCATCTCTCTAAGTTAGGTCAGATACAGACTATATATATATGTGGTAGCGAAAATAATTACAATTTGTTCTGAAGATAACCGCAGTGTTTTTCGGAATGTGGAATGACGACGAGGTTTCTGATGTTTGGATGTCTCTTGTTCCGAATCTGACGAACTTTGCTCATGTTGCTCTCCTAGAATATAATAAAACAAAGAGCACTATGAAAATCACAGAAAATACAATATAATAAATGTATGAAAAAGCATTCGATAATGAATAACAAAAGGGCTTGTTTTGTCATTTGTTAACAAAACATTGTCAATATTATTATAGTAAGTAGATATATATAACATATTTTAACCTTTTATTTGCGATGGTTTCTCGAGCAATAGTTCTGTTCCATCTTCAATTTGAATTGATTCTTGTGGTTCTATGACGTCATTTACATCGTTCTCTTCAGTTTCACGGTCTTTTTCTTCAGTGCCGTGGTCCACTTGATCTTCACTTATAGTCACTTCTTTAATACTTTTGGTTACTTCAGGTGTTTCTTCTACGTTTAGATCCTTTGTAATTTCTTCTTTCGGTGGCGATGATTCAATTCTACGGGATGGAAATTATGGAATGTGAAAAGGTGAATCATTTTTATAGAATGTAAATATCAATTCCCTTCTGTTCCTGCCTATCTAAAGGAGAAGTTTAATTTTGTAGGGCCTCCGGGGGAACCTCTACGCTCTACAAGAAAATTCATTTTAAGGGTACCAACTCACAATACATCATTTTTTAATAAATCTTTTACTGTCCAGTCTATTAAGCTCTGGATATATTATACCTATATATTTATTGTTTGAAGAATTTTGTAATTTATGTATGTATTTTTGGGTAGATATGTAAGTTTGTTTATATATATTATGTTTTACTTTATCTTTTATTATGTATTAATAATTTATATTATTTCCAATATCAGTTATTTATATGTTATTTTATTGTATTTATTGTCTATATATCGCGTGTATAGATATTATATTTTGTGTATTTATATTGCACCACCTACCTAGTATTCATTGTTTTATTCCTTTACACCTTTGGTTGCCTGAAAGAGATCGCTATGTAGCGATAAGGCCGCCAAATTGTACATATAATCTGCCTTTTGTTACGTCATTTGTGTATTTGTTTGTGGTGTACAATAAAGTATATTCATTCATTCATATTTTATATTCATTCAATCTTATCAAAAGTCCACTACTGAACATAGATCTCCTATAGGCAATATATGAGCCTCATGCTACCAGTAGTCATATTGCCTCGCTTGGGTTGGGTTGTCAGGAAGATACCGCTGCCCATTTCCTGCGTCATTTCTCTCTGTCGTGTTTTATGATTCCCGCTGGATTATATATCTTACTTATACATATAATTTGTATAATTATGGGGTTGGAGCTGGCCGAATTTTGTCAACCAAACAATCCTTAAGGTATGACTTCATAATATTATGAAATGTATAATGGAACATAACAGCAGTTAAAACATTAAAAGAACTGTTGTAAAAAAATAATAGTGAACTTAGCTTCAAAAATTGCTAGTTTATAATATATTATATCAGCATTACCACTGTTTGCATAACGCATTTATTCATCATTTCATAAATAAAATCCATAACTTTAGCAAAGTTAAAACACAATATGTACATTCATTGTTAAATAACTTTCAGTATATTATATAAAAGTACTGAAAGTACTTTTAAATAATATACTGCCTCATGAAAATAACCAGAGGAATCATCAGAAGTATCATTTTAACTTAAGATTTGTTTTGGAGGTGAAAACTTCTTTAGAATCGCTGTGATTTTAAATCGATGTAACTAAAAAGCGACATTAAAAAGAGACACACATGTACATCTATAGGATTTAGCCTACGAGAGAATGAGATAGAATACACAGTAAAGAGTGTTTCCTATTATTTCCGTCTCAATAAATTAATGATAAAAAAATGAATTACGTAATAATTGATTTTTATTAATAAAAATAAACAATGTTTCACTTCTACCGCATGTGAACTGCACAAATGTTTTTTTTTTAATTAACTGACAAATTGTGACATGCAGAAAGAGTTTATAATCAAGAGTTTTCATATAAATCATGATTAAATAATAGACAATGTTGTATGAAATTCTATTCAGGTAGGGGATTCCATAGTAGTTGTTTATGAAAGACAAAGAACATTAATTGAACATCTAGGTAAAAGCTGAATGTGTTTCAGAGGACTGTTCACGCTTCGTTCTATGAAGTCCAATGTAGACGTTACGGCTACCGTGCTAAAGCCATTTTGTGGACAAGGTGTTCGGTGGTATCGCTTACCGCTTGGCGTCCGCGTTGGAGCGGCGCCAGCTCCACCAGCTGTAGGCGCGCGGCTTGGCGCCCGCGCTCGCCGCGCCCGCCGCCTCGCCCGCCTCCGCCTCCGCCTCCGCTTCCGCTTCCACTGAACCCTTGTCCAACGACTCAAGGATACGCTACGAGAACGCATTTTATCTATCTTAATCATAAGGTATTTTAACTTTAGAGACAAATACAAGATATTTCATTTGTGGAGATAATCGAACTCTTACGTGGCGCAGACCGACGACGGCTCTGACATTTCATTCGTAGTTTTCTCCAATGGTTAATTGAATTCGGAAGTCATTATTTCTTTTTCTGTAAATGTATGGCATTTCTTGATAAAAGACTTGTCATTGTGTATAACATGATATGTCACATTACTTATTTATCGATAGAGCATAAAGAGTAGTTCCATAAAAATTCGACAGAAAGACCAGATGCGATGGTGATTGAAGTCATTATATATTTTTTGATGATTTTGTATTTGGGCAATGTATTTTGTTTGTTGCGTCCTTTACAGTTTGACCCACAAATATTGAAACGAGATAAATTAATATATTTTTGTAAATATCTGTCTTCCTAGCGTCAGATTTTGATAGCCATGTGTGTACCAAATAATGCAGTAAAAAGAATCGTATTGTGATAAAAGCGACGCCAGAACGAAGAGCGCGCGCCTCTTGCTCGCTTAAGGTACGCTGCAGTGCGGGTGACACTCACGTTGGGCAGCGGGCGGCGGTAGGCGAGCAGCGAGAGCAGCAGCGGGCCGGCGCTGCGCCAGGGCAGGCAGCGCGTGCCCACGCGCACCACGAGGCGGCCCTCCGCCGCCAGCGCGTCGCCGCGCGCGCAGAACAATGTAGGTACGCTGCAGTGCGGGTGACACTCACGTTGGGCAGCGGGCGGCGGTAGGCGAGCAGCGAGAGCAGCAGCGGGCCGGCGCTGCGCCAGGGCAGGCAGCGCGTGCCCACGCGCACCACGAGGCGGCCCTCCGCCGCCAGCGCGTCGCCGCGCGCGCAGAACAATGTAGGTACGCTGCAGTGCGGGTGACACTCACGTTGGGCAGCGGGCGGCGGTAGGCGAGCAGCGAGAGCAGCAGCGGGCCGGCGCTGCGCCAGGGCAGGCAGCGCGTGCCCACGCGCACCACGAGGCGGCCCTCCGCCGCCAGCGCGTCGCCGCGCGCGCAGAACAATGTAGGTACGCTGCAGTGCGGGTGACACTCACGTTGGGCAGCGGGCGGCGGTAGGCGAGCAGCGAGAGCAGCAGCGGGCCGGCGCTGCGCCAGGGCAGGCAGCGCGTGCCCACGCGCACCACGAGGCGGCCCTCCGCCGCCAGCGCGTCGCCGCGCGCGCAGAACAATGTAGGTACGCTGCAGTGCGGGTGACACTCACGTTGGGCAGCGGGCGGCGGTAGGCGAGCAGCGAGAGCAGCAGCGGGCCGGCGCTGCGCCAGGGCAGGCAGCGCGTGCCCACGCGCACCACGAGGCGGCCCTCCGCCGCCAGCGCGTCGCCGCGCGCGCAGAACAATGTAGGTACGCTGCAGTGCGGGTGACACTCACGTTGGGCAGCGGGCGGCGGTAGGCGAGCAGCGAGAGCAGCAGCGGGCCGGCGCTGCGCCAGGGCAGGCAGCGCGTGCCCACGCGCACCACGAGGCGGCCCTCCGCCGCCAGCGCGTCGCCGCGCGCGCAGAACAATGTAGGTACGCTGCAGTGCGGGTGACACTCACGTTGGGCAGCGGGCGGCGGTAGGCGAGCAGCGAGAGCAGCAGCGGGCCGGCGCTGCGCCAGGGCAGGCAGCGCGTGCCCACGCGCACCACGAGGCGGCCCTCCGCCGCCAGCGCGTCGCCGCGCGCGCAGAACAATGTAGGTACGCTGCAGTGCGGGTGACACTCACGTTGGGCAGCGGGCGGCGGTAGGCGAGCAGCGAGAGCAGCAGCGGGCCGGCGCTGCGCCAGGGCAGGCAGCGCGTGCCCACGCGCACCACGAGGCGGCCCTCCGCCGCCAGCGCGTCGCCGCGCGCGCAGAACAATGTAGGTACGCTGCAGTGCGGGTGACACTCACGTTGGGCAGCGGGCGGCGGTAGGCGAGCAGCGAGAGCAGCAGCGGGCCGGCGCTGCGCCAGGGCAGGCAGCGCGTGCCCACGCGCACCACGAGGCGGCCCTCCGCCGCCAGCGCGTCGCCGCGCGCGCAGAACAATGTAGGTACGCTGCAGTGCGGGTGACACTCACGTTGGGCAGCGGGCGGCGGTAGGCGAGCAGCGAGAGCAGCAGCGGGCCGGCGCTGCGCCAGGGCAGGCAGCGCGTGCCCACGCGCACCACGAGGCGGCCCTCCGCCGCCAGCGCGTCGCCGCGCGCGCAGAACAATGTAGGTACGCTGCAGTGCGGGTGACACTCACGTTGGGCAGCGGGCGGCGGTAGGCGAGCAGCGAGAGCAGCAGCGGGCCGGCGCTGCGCCAGGGCAGGCAGCGCGTGCCCACGCGCACCACGAGGCGGCCCTCCGCCGCCAGCGCGTCGCCGCGCGCGCAGAACAATGTAGGTACGCTGCAGTGCGGGTGACACTCACGTTGGGCAGCGGGCGGCGGTAGGCGAGCAGCGAGAGCAGCAGCGGGCCGGCGCTGCGCCAGGGCAGGCAGCGCGTGCCCACGCGCACCACGAGGCGGCCCTCCGCCGCCAGCGCGTCGCCGCGCGCGCAGAACAATGTAGGTACGCTGCAGTGCGGGTGACACTCACGTTGGGCAGCGGGCGGCGGTAGGCGAGCAGCGAGAGCAGCAGCGGGCCGGCGCTGCGCCAGGGCAGGCAGCGCGTGCCCACGCGCACCACGAGGCGGCCCTCCGCCGCCAGCGCGTCGCCGCGCGCGCAGAACTCGTCGAACGGCAGCGCGCGCGACACCGCGCCCTCGCGTACGTACACCGAAACCTCCCCCCTGCCGAATATTCTTGCTACACTGCACTATCCAATTAAGGCCAGGTTCGACAAAAATGTCGTATTTTAGACACGATTTCGACGCCCGAGAATTGATACTTCTTGAAATATGCTGAATGGATTTTTGAAGTTATACTTGTTTTGAGGCGTTTGGGAAAAATTATGTGAGGGAATTTTTCACGATGCGCGATAACATCGACAGCTAAAAACGACACCATGAAATTGTTACGATGCGTGCGCATACTAACACCTCAAAGCGACAATTTCATTGGGTAACTGTCTTTTAAGTTTTAATGGACTATATTTAAGGTATTTATTTTTAATTATTTTTGTTTTGTTACGCTAAAAAAGTATAACTTCCTATATGCGTACATAAGTACACACACACGTTTTTTTATGATAGATATTTTGTATTAATCGAGATAAAAAATATAATGTAATCGACAGGAAAAATCTTTATCGTTCGTGTTTTCGTTTTTAGCGATAACCATAAAATATTTTCGATAGTATAAAGCATGTTATTAAATTCGATTCTTAATCGGCTACATTTTTATTTACATCCTTTATTTCCTGATAATAAGCAAATATATTTCAAATAAAGTAACTTATTGTCCATCAAATGTCGCCGCTTACTTCGTGCTGGATAGGTAAATAATAAACATGCATGCAGCAGAAAACAAAACACCGAACGGAAAGCCTTTTGACGCAGGAAATTCTAAGATTATGTGTGCACTCACGATACTCCAAGGTTGTTTTTCCAACATTACTAGACTAACTATAAAATACTTTGAGTGATAAATTGAATATCCTATACGTACTGCCTGCCAGTTAGTTTCAATCCCTAAATACTAAGTGGACGATTGACGTCGTTCGACCCGATGTACTTTAGTACAATGGAATTTATATAGTAAATAAATATAAATAGTTAGTATTGTGTAATATTTTTTCCCCTAACACTTATCTGTATTTACGTTAACTAAAATTTACTTTGATTTGGTTTTTTCGTTCGCAAAAACGCCAATTGTTGATTTTATGTCTAGTAGTACCATGAAGGTTAGCCCCCATATCATCATACACTATGTACGAGTACCAACCTTTAACCTCATCGTGTGTAACATCGAATACACATAGGTTATGTTAGTATGCGTAAGTTCCTATGTTAATATGTGCACTTGTGTTATATACTGCGCTGTTGATAACTTCCAAAACATTAAAAAAAATTCGCTGTGATCGAAATCAGGCATAAGAAAATCGAACATGAACAGACTTTCTCTAACTGAACATAGGAGTCTCAAAAGAATTGTCGCGTCCAACACGTTTGGCCGACGAATTGGCGATTGCAGTACCTGGCGCGTCGAGTATTATACCATTATGTCTTTGTTCTGGATACTTTAGGTTTGAACAGTGGTTCTTACGTCATCTATTAGTTCATAATATAAAGTTTTCTAAGCAATTTCCTCAGTCTATTTTTACGGCACTAGTATACCCGATGAAATAGAACGATGGTTTATTTTATGCAGTCACTCCAAACGAAATACAAATACTAAAAGTGGCTCTTTAATGTCAAATCTGACTAAAATAAATCCTAAATGCAAATGACGTGTGCAAATTCAATAATATAAGCATATAAAGTAAATATGTATAAAAATTTAACTAAGATAAACATATCAGAATCAAATCTAATTATGCATAATATATAACAATAATGACGTCAAGTTTCATGGCTTCACATAACGTGTACGTATGTACACTGCAGTAATATTAGCCTTACGTAAATACAGTAGTTACCACATAAGATGATCTTGTTAATTATTACTAAAAACAATAAAAATGTTAATACGCCATAAATTGTTTATAAACTAAGTATTGCAAGGATAAATACAAATCATTTATCATAACATAAAACATTAAAGTCTATTTTTAAGTATCTTTCATGATACATAGCTTTTTCATAATAATTTCTTACGTTTACGCGAATACTACACATTGTATTAAGCAAATTTACGGATTTTATCGCGCATAATTGCCGACGTTTCGAACACTATACAGTGCCTATGTTGAGGGAGGGGTATTTGACGACCTGATGTCATAGTTAACGGAGGCTACCTTTAACTTTTAAATAAAATGTTTTGGTCCAATCTATGCGGATGGTTGGGACGATCTTGAACATTGTTTACAAAGCGCCGACGCTCCGGGAAGTCTGCATTATGTGAACATTTTCAAGATCATCCGATTGGTTAGACCACAAATCTACTGGTTATTGAAATTAAAAATAAATCCTTAGGTCAATAGAGAAGATTGCTGGGTGCGACAATCTGCTTGGGATCTCATAATTAATAAAATTAAATCCAAGCATACTACTGCATGACTTCAACATACTTTAAGCTCGTTCTGCGTAGTTTGGACTAACAAAAATATTAAAAAGTTGAAGGTAGCTTACGTTAACTGTAAGGATGTCCTATTCCGTGCTGCCCGTGGCCATGAACTGTGTACAGCTCCCGAAAAGTCGAAAATTGTAAACGCGATAGAACCCGTTTCTGTAATTAGTTTCATTCAATACTTTTTCATTCTAAAAAAGTAAGCTCTTTTACTTAGACTTGTGCCTGCGTCTCATTTGAGGATAATCCTTGTGCTCACACAGCTCTGGACATACCGTGCGGGGTTCTGAAGTACTTCAAGTAATTTGATTCCTTGGACTCATCTAATATATTTAGCAATAAAACTAACTTTTGGTTTAATAAACTCACTTGCTCAATATTTTGTCGTCGTCATCCGAGTCGATAGTGGGCGGTTCGAGGGAAGCCGGGGACTGTGGTAGAGAAGGTCCATTGCCTGACTCATACTCCTCTTCGGTAGGTCCTCCTTCTTGCACAGTACCCACCCTGCTGCCCCCTGCAGACATTTTACATTGTAAATTTGCATAACTTAAAAAAATACTACTAACATTACTAGAACTCTCACTTATAATGTTTGCCGAGAAGGGAATATACTCATGGTTATGTATTGTTGTCCTATTGTGAAATTTGATTTCGCGGTTTGTAAAGCTCTTAAATAGTTTCGTTTAGAAGCTTACAAGTTCTTCCTGTGGTGAAAATGGAACGTTTAACATGGAGCGTATAATTTATTGGTATTTATTTGTCTGGTTATTATGTTAATTATATATGGTTGCAATAAGTAAATAAGTCTGTCGAAAATTGCATCAGTAAATTTAGGTTCTATGTCAATTAAGGCAATCGCCCATTTTGCGAATACATCTGCTCCCAGATTGTGAGAATAATCAAGTGGGACTAATATGGTTATTGGTTTTTTACTTATGTTACACCACTAAAATAATCTTCCCAATTATTGCAATTTATACAATGTGAAAACTTTGACAAGACAAAAGTACATAAATTGAGATACCACTTTTAAAATTATAGAATTCATTTTTGTTTTTATCACTTATTTGATTGCAAGTGGAATAACAAGAACTATGGCAACATTTATCCTGAAACGAAAATATAATATTTGTGTCACAGCTGTTATCGCGTCCGGCATTTTCTCTATGAAATTAATGAGTCATAGAAACGAATTATGATATCATTTAATTACTGAAATTTTTACATTTAAATTCGAACAGGATGCATTTTAAATAGGTTGTATATTATCTCAAATGTAACTTCTACGTACGAAGATTACGAACGATACTATTAATTTCCTAAAAATATCCTATACGATGTGATTAACGAAATGAACTTAATGACTATTTTATCGTACAGTTTTAAATTGTAGATGATCTTTTAATTTTAATTTCGCCGAGAAAATTTTAAATCTTTTAGATTTATGGCCCTAATAATCTATATTTATGAACTTTTATAATAAGGGGTCGTACGAAAATCCTTATATGGTTGAAAGTATAAAGGACAGAGTTAAGTACTATATTATTAAGAAAAAAATATTTATAAGCAAAAAAGGAAAAGCGTGAGCCATAAAATTTCCACTGGTCTGTTCTGGGCACAGGTTTTATAATTTTCTTATTGAAATTAGGCATGTGTTGTTAAAAACATTTCGTCGACCTACTGTAGGGTAAATTAGCTCACATACCACGTGTTTGATTCAGCATCTAAATTTGCAACATGAGTATTTCAATATTGCATCATTCGAGAAATCTTGGTAACCTTAAATCGAATCAAAGTCGCATTTTGAAGCACACAAAATTTATGAACAATCTAATATTATGTTATGCTTGTCTCTTTCATATCAGCGTGTAAACGTCCTTCTGCTCGGTACACATCCTCTATATTAAGTAAGAATTTGTCGAAATCGTCACAAAATAAAACATCTCAACGTGCAAAATAGTTCCAGATTGGTCGCAGGTGTTTTACTTCTCACAAACATCTTTAGCGATTCCCTAAGTTGGAGATTTTTCAAGATGTATGAGACGTGGGAAGTATTGTTTTACAACGGGTCACAGACCCATGAATCTTATTTATAAATACTAGTTAAAAATACTCGGATCAATAATATTTATAAAAGCCGTCATAATGCAGTTCGATTCTCACCCGTACTACTGAAACTACTAATGGTAATTTCACGTGGTGATTGACTGTGCCTAGCAAGTATGCAAAACATGGGAATCTGTACGTCTGAGATAGATTTTATTTAAAACTAGCTGACCCGGCGAACTTCATACCGCCTGACAGTCGATTCTTAATTTTTTAATTTTTTTTAAGCATTATGTTGTTAACAAGATTACCGAAATAAACGTATTATTTATTTATTTATTATAGACTAGCTGACCCGGCGAACTTCGTACTGCCTAACAGTGGATTCTTTAATTGTTATTAATACTTATTCTGCTATTCGGGACACCGGGTTAGCTAGTAAGATAAAGAAAAAGAAAGTTGATAAGTCAACAGTTACATTATGTCAAAAAATAAAAATTATAAGACACTTAAAATTCGTTTAATAATAGTCACTAAAAATACACAATGAAAATTACAATTTCTGATTTCTTATTATGATACCTACTTATTATATTTCATTTTATTTTTACTTATTCTAAATATGTTTCCATCGTATAAATATTGACAAATATTTATACGATATGATACGATACGATATAATATTTATACGATACAAACGTCACTCAATTTTTTTGACTTCCCGGAACCCCTCCACTAACACTTAAACTTTATGGTATGGTATTAAAATAAATTTCAAATTGACTTTTAAGTATTATTACGAATCTTTTGTATGGGAATATAGAAAAGTGTTGTTTATAGACTTTTTCAGGCAATTTTTTCAATTTTTCTCTCCGTAAGAACCATCTTCCTACTTCAAGGAATATTATAAGAAAAGAATTAGCGAAATCGGTTCAGCTGCTCTCGAGATTTGAGCTTAGCAACACATTCAGTGATTCATTTTTATATTATAGATTACGTGAAAGAGTTACGTAACAGCCTATGCATATACGAGTACGTCCCACAGCTGGGCACAGCTTCCTCTCACCTCTGTGAGGGGTCCTCACTTTCCATTTCACAGTCATTTCCTACTTTATAAACCTTTCAGAAATCAGTGCGATTCCTATGCAGTGGCATGTCCTATCGCTATTACAGAGAAAACTATTAACATATAATTGCTTCCCGCTTTGCAACATTAAACGTAATGTTTGGGTCCAGCAGCGGGACGTTGGTCATGTAGGCTTACTTCTTTAGTTTTAATTTATATCACATTAAACTTATAATTTTATGATTATGTTTAATTATAAATATACGTTGCTAATACTACTGGAAGTTCTAAATTGAGTTTAATTTTCGTTTTTCGTGTACTCATAATGCATCTTTCATTTTGTTGATAATATTTATTAAATATTGTAATAAGTCTTTCAAATTTTGTTAATGTCATTGACACAAACAAAAAAGAATTAAAATCGTGTCACTTACCTGAGCGGTAGCGTTCAGTGTGGTGCTTTGGGAAATACAGATCGGGGTCAACTTGACCGCGGTCGAGGTCGTCTAGATAAACGCCCCCCGTCGCCGCGTCGTTGGCGTCCCGTGTCGACATGAAGCGGAACATCCCGCTGAACACTCCGCGCCGTCCCGGTCGTTCCTCGTCCGAACTGACGGGCTCGGCCGGCGAAGCTGGGGACGCCGGGGACACCGGAGACGCTGGGCTTTCGGGAGACTCGGTATTCGTCCCTCTCATCGGAGGCTCCGGCAACTCGCCCCATCGCCACGACTGCGATGATTTGTCACCAGCAGTCGCACGCGACAACTCCACCTCAGTGTCTGACTGCACAGGCGTGCCGGTACGTGACCCCTTGCTGTACACCAAAACATTAACTGTTGAGCTCATATTTGGGAAAATAAAATCTGACAATAAACGCAACAAATATATATATATAATCCAAAATAGAAAGCAGAGCTGACGAAATTAATATTATAGCAATTGCGTAAACTGAATTTATCATCGGTTGAGAAAGATCGTGTTTGCATATACAATAAGTTATAAGGCTGCGAATGCACAGATAATATGGCAGCAGTTCGATAGTTTAATCAGCTCATTAATAAAACGGCTAGACTGTTAGTTAAACGCTACCATTTAACTAAATGTGTAGCATTCTGCATATTAAGTATTCTGTACTTCTAGTCGAATTATTGCGACGCGTATAAGCATTTAAAACGATAGGGCTGACCGAAAGCCCAAACTTTAAGTTTTTCGGCCACTTTGGCGATACTTATAATCATTTCCAAAGATTTTAGGCTTTAATAGCTAATGTAATTTAACCGATGTGAAAAATGTCCAAGGATCCAATGGAATTCAATTTAAAACTAAAATTAGTAGCCATCTAATTTTAGTTTTAAATTGAATTCCATTGGATCCTTGGACTAGCCCTTTTGATAAATATTACGTTAAGACTTTATGTTATGTTTATCGGTTAATGCTTGACAGATAAGCGAAAAGACTTAGCTTCCTTTAGGAATTTCTTTGGAGAATTTCGGAATTACTCATATAGTAAATGAGTAGTTCAGTCGCTTAATTAAGTAACGGATTAAAAATCGGGCTGCAACATTTACATATTCTTAACAGCATTAGTATTATTAAATAATTTGTTATCTGTGGAGGTCTCGAGTTTTTGTAGGCGCTACAGATGGAAAACGCTATTAAATTAATAAATATAAAAGAAAAGCCCACAATAATATAAAAAATAAACTTTCTATACGAAGATTTTATGGGGAAAATTTTCGCAAGTTTATTTACTAGCTTAATTATATAAGAGACATTTTATATAGAGACTTTAATGAAAGAGTTTGTTTTTAAACCGAAACCTATAACAAAAACTATACAAACTATATGTACGGCGATGCAGTGGTTCTAATCCATATCTTGTCTTGCTTATAAATTATATGTCTGTCTTTTATTAACTAAATCTTGTCATCGATGACGTCAATACGAGTTAAATAAGTCCAAATATATAAGCTCATAAATGTCAGTGCATCCATTCTGTTAAAAACATTGTCACTTACCACGACAGTAATCTACTTAAATATAATTGTTACAAATAAATAAACCTATACTAAGTGATAGCTGAGGTTACTAGAGCAATATACTCTTATAAAAACATGTAATTACGTCGATCTAAATTACTGGAAAAAGATTTAAGTATGTTCACTACGGATATTTACTTCAGTTTATGATATAGTTACATTGTTTACAGGAAGCACTCCATATTTAAGTAAAGTATGATACGTTATGAATACATAAATCTGAGTGTAAAGTATAACTATAGTGAAATAATACAGTAAGCGAGGCGTTGGATTATTGTAATATAATGTTTACGAGTGTCTGGAGGCTGCATGCACCTCGAACGCTGTATCGGACAACGCCAGCGGGATGCGGTTGTCTCCGTCCAGCTTCAAATTCGACATTTCTTCACTGCAACCATGTTACCCACTCAGTCAAAAAAGCCACTCAAAGGTCACACATAATATATGAAAACTATTTAATACTTCAAAATACCTGAGAATAGCAGCATTCACTTCGGTGTCACTGAAAAAATTAATATCAGCATTATTTGGAATGGCAGTGGGTTGCGACCCGCGCAGCTCGGAACTAGCGAGGTCTGATTGGCTTGAAACAGAACTGGTTGAAGACTTTCTTTGATGCTTCTTCTTCATGCTGACCTTTCTAGTCTTTTTTTTCTTTTTTCCGTTTCCATTTTGCTTTACTTCTTCCTGTGCGGAGGGCGCTGCATCGATAGGGCGGAAGTCGTTATTCGCACTAATCTTTTGTACTACTTGGTTAGCCTGGCTCTCGGCTCCGCCGAGTTGCGTTGCTGCAAATGTTTTAGGTTTCGCATCGGTCCAATCGACTGATACTTCATCCAAGCCCTCCATTTCAAATAAGGCTTCAGTTTCAGTATCATTTCTTTTTTTATTTTCATCTTTGGTTTTAAGCTTACTTAAATCAGGTTTCTGCATAGTCTGTCCGTCAGCAGTATATCTAAAACAAACAAATAATGGTACTTTTACATATTCCAAATCAATCACCTGAATAATACTCAAAAAAAGAATTTTAATAGTATACCCTACATAATTAAGTGTCCCTGAACTGAGCTCTGAACTAAAGACTTTTTTTTTTACGTCGAACCTGTAATAAGCATAATCCGTCGACGCATCTTTTCTTGGGTGTCATGAGATTTAACTTTAAGGTAATATCTAGCTGGTGGAAGTGATTGTACTTGAAGTTCTGGGCCAAAATATTTACACTTACTTGAAATTATATGCTTAATAAGATAATCAAGAGCTTATTATCTTGTTTTTTATTTTGGTACAAATCTTTGGTATCAATTATTATTGACCAATATATGCGAGCTATACCTATTATAAATTTCAAAAATAAAGATTATTACCGTCGTTTTGTATAATCGGAAGCAAGGCCATGGTCAGGCTCGACTATCGACAGTGAATTTCTACGCCTTGGTTCGTAAAGTTCGTCGAAACGCGTAGCTGGTATGGGGGATGTAGCAAGGTGCGCGGAACACACCGCCTCATCCTCACCCACCTCCTCCACGAAAAACGCTTCTCCCGACTCCCCCAGCTTCATGTGGATGTCTAATTGTTCACCGTTTAGTTCTAAGTCCACCTGCGTAAAATAATTGGAAATAGTAATGTTGAATTAAATAATTTTAGAAAAGCATGTCTGTTTAAGCGCATCATTTAAAAGACATACCTATCTCAAATAACCGTTATTAAAAAAAAAACTATATTTTATAAACAAATACTGCTGCGCATAACATCTAAAAAATAAACTCGTAAAAGTGTTTTGTGAGTATTAATTAGCAATGTGCTTAATTATATATAAGAATGAGATAATAAAAAGAGATCTAACGCTTAGATAAATCTAAATATTCTGTCGTTATATTCAGTTTTCAGGGTCTCATTTTATTATTTTTAATTATCTTAATCAAATATAAAACTGAAAACCGTTAGACTTAAATTTATTTCTAATTACTTATACGTATTATAATTAAATATATATATTTGATTATAACAAGTTTAAAAATGGTAAAGTCCATTTTAAAAACTCGATATAACCAAATGGATCTTCTACATAGGATGATACCTAGATGATACCATTTGATTATATCGTCTGTCTTTATGTTTATCCGCTGACTCCTAAACCACGCAACATTGCGGTTATCGCCATCAGTTATATATTTAGTTTATATATAAAATATATCATAATTTAGTTTTTGTGTGAGTAGACAAAATTAATATTTTGTAACAATTTTCATGACTTATACGTAGCCTTTAACTTTAAGAGTTTCATCAAAAGGAAGTACTATAAAATTGTAGATCTACAAAAAAATCTAGTTAAAACTTAGCGATATGTATGCCATCTCTCTGTTTACTTAATTTAAATTTAAATTCTTTACTCATGGGCGCACCGTAACAAATATATTCTTTAAAATTTTATTTTTTAAATATTACGTAAATTGCGACGCTTTTTGCTCTTATTGAGTATTAATCCTTATTCATAATCCATAGGGCACACCTGATGGTAAATGAATACCGTCGCCCATGAACAACTGCAACACCAAGGGAATTGCAGGTGCGTTGCCGGCCTTTTAAAAAGGAGTAAGGTTCCTAAGTCGTATCTGTCCGGAAAAATCGCCGGTGGCTTACCACCGCTTACTATTCCACAGAGAGATCGTACGCGGAAGAAAACTCCTAGTGAAACGTACAGTGATGGACCGCCAAGCATCCAGATGGTGTGGATGGTATCAGGAGTTTTGCCGCAATGTGCGTTTGTGAAATTTCTCGGCTGGGATTAATCCGAACAATTCCTCAGAGCACTCCCCGTGATAGATGCGATAAAATACGCAAACAGATGCAACATCTCCACGCAGTGCCAGTGAGTCAAACCGATCGGAAAGAACTCGGTGGTCAACAATTCGAACCGCTCTGCGCTGGATGCGGTTAAGTGGAAGGAGCTGGCACTGGGGAGCCCCTGCCCAGAGATGGGAACAGAACAGTGTTCCATGTGAGGCCGAACCTGCGCCTAGTAAAGTTCCAAGCGGTGTGCCGGCATGAAATACTGTCCCGCTCTGCTGAGCACGCCAAGCTTTTTAGAGGCCAATTTGGCCTTTTCTTCCAAGTGACCACGAAATTGCACCTTACACTATATCATTCTAATGACTACACTTTCGAAGATATCAAAGATTAAAAATACGAGCAACCAAAAAAATAACTCACAGCCGCAGCTAAACTATAATAAAAACTATAACAATTAAAAAAATATTATTAATATTTTCCTGCTAAGTAATTTTTTTTTCTAAACTGCACCCGTGTGAAGTCGAGGCGGGTCGCTAGTAAAATAATAAATTCAGCGCCATATCAGTACAGGTTTGATGAATTAGTAACTACTAATGCATCAAACCTGTTCCATGAGCTCCACGTTTTTTACCTAGGACCTAGATCACTAAAATTTTTAATGCACTGCAAATAATATGAACTACCCCCATTCCTATACGTCTTATCCTTACTATGTATTATCTATTGCATACGCTCCAATATTCGTTTTATATGTATAGGATATAAATAATTATTTTCTTTTTTTAGCCTATCATCCAGTTCTGAGTTACGGGAAATCGGAAAGTTGATTTAAATTCAATTGCAAAATTTGTACCGAACAGGCAGACAGACAAGGAAGCGAGTTAATAAGAACGTGTTGTGCTTACAAATTAAAATACTAGGTATGTTTACGACTACTTTTACTTTATTTATGACTATCATATTATGTTTGACCCAATTTAAAACTATTAATTCGATAAACATTTAAATATCTTTGGTCGCCAAAAAATAGCAGATAGAGTCATGAAGACAAATATTTGTGCCAATTTTTTTTCGGCAACGTTCCAATTTGCTTGTTGAGCGAATTGGACGCAGTTTTTGTTTTCCGTTTTGGCAATTGTTAACGTGCGTTGATATAGAACAGTGATGACTAAATATTGTTTGAGGAAATTATAATATATAGGTATATCTGGATTTTTTCAATCATGTCTTTAACATTTTATAATATAGGAATACCGAAGATATGAAACTAGGTCTGTTTACAAAGGTAGCAAGATGTTTATTTTATTTTATTGAAGAGAATGTTCTAGACGCGTTGGGCGAATTGTAGCGTCTGCTTTAATTTAGCTCGGTCTTTGATTCACGTTTGTGGATTCCACTACACAGAGTACGCTACACGTCATCCTATAATGTTTTTGGTCGGTTAATATAGTTGTAACATAATTGTTACTTTTTTAAATGGATAACTATTATTTTTTTAGGGAAAGCCTAGTTTCCCTAAAAAATTATAGTTTCCACCGGGGAAGAACCACGCTCTCACAGAATACCAGCGTAAAATAGCAGCTTAATGCTGGTGTGTTTCGTATGGTGAATGTAGAGAACCGGAGACCCTTTTTAATGGAAAAGAGGCATTCTATCTTAGTCCTCACGGCTGACAACGCATCTGCATTTCAATTCGCAAACGAAGATAGATGTAGGTGTCTATGGGCAACCACTTACCATCAGCTGGACTGTGTACGTACTAGTTTCTCACCCTTATTCTATAAAAAAAAGTTTAATTGTGATGGGTTGTAATGATGATGATGACTTTAAGTAAATACTAGCTAGTACTTAAACTACTTATGGTAAAAGCATTTTGTACGGAAAAGTAATGTGGCAACACACACTCCATAGTTTCTTTTCGCCTGTGGCACACCTGTGGCACAGTACCTTTCAAATAATATAAGTTGTATTCTCCACCCTTTATAAGAAATACTAAAAAAAAGTACGGCTCGGTTAGCTAAGATTAAAATTCACGTTTTGGCGCTTAGCAATAGAAATAAAGTTTATAAATATGCATTATTTAGAAATATACTACAATCAAAGACACTGTCCTGACCTAAATGGACAAAAGCATAGATCAGAATAATAATGAGTTCGCTAAAAAGAGTCCTTCACGTCGCCTTTAGTAAGGCCGACTTATTTATACTTTTGCGTATAAAAGCAGAATCCAGGTGTATATTAAAAGAAGTTGTATTAGAAAAAAAAAATTGTTCCATAAATTTCAATTTCACTATAGCTACGGAGCCGTGACGCTGCGCAAATTTTTGGTTGGTCGAAGCGTGGCAGGGCCGCGGGTTTGAATCCCGCATGGAACAGGTGTTTGTTTCAGACCTGGACGTGTGTCCATGTGCAGTTTTTACGTATGTAAACTGCCAACATGATACAGGAGACCATCCTACTGTGGGATAACGTTTTAAAAATAAAGTAAAAATTTCACAAATCATAAAAACAAGGTTTTAGGATTTGTGATAAAGTATCCAAGTATTATCGACACAAGATTACTTTTTATGATTAGAACTAGTTATGTACGACTGGAATTTACATTACAGTAATATCTATAATTGATGTATTAAAAACTTATTCATGGTTTATCCATGAATACATTTTTAATCCATGTATAAATTCTGTGGTTTTTTGTTATAAACTGTGGATTTTTGTTATATAAATATTTCTCAATCGTATTTTTGCTTTCGACTTGAGACACCTTCGACCACATTTTCAAAAAAAAAATCAACCTAACCTGGGTCACTTGAGTAACTAAAAACTTGTAAAAAAAAGTTGTAGGTACACAAATATAGGCTGAGGCAAAATGTCTGGCTATATCATTACAACTTTCATTAAGATATAGCAACCGACGAATCCAACTCGACCAGACAGCGTTCGAGAAAATTCGGCTTATCTTATCGTTCAATATATGTAGCTTTAAATTAAAAGTGTATAGATAGTTTATGTTACATGTTTGTGATGCCCTATGAAATTGAGACCACTGCTTGCCTTATGGAAAAGATGTCAAAATATGACTTATGAAAATTTAAAATATATTTTATTGCAAGTTTCACTGTTTTGCGTAACTGTTGAGCAGGTGCTAAAAATACCTAACAAATTGCTACTAACAATTTCAGTGCTAGTGAGATCAAATTCAGGTGACCGATTAGTAATATGAAACTTACCTACGCCTGAGTTACGAAAGGCGTTTAATAATTAATCTACCTACATAGAGGAGAAAGAAACAGTATAGATAAATAAAGAATATTATTTTATCCCCACTTGTTCTGCAAAGAAAGAGAACATAACTGCCTCGTCCTCTTTATCATTTTAAAAACGTTTCGGAATAGGAAATAATAGTTACTTCATTTAGTAAGGCTTATTTTTGTACACTTGTGGCCTAGAACATTGTCGTAAAAGAGCGGAATATTGATGAGAGATTTCCGCGATCATTCTCCTTGATAATTCAGGCACAGTCTAAGAAGAACATACATTCAGTCATCGCGTTTGATGTTGTCGTTGTCGGAAATGCCGACATCGTCTAGACTTTCGTCGTGACGAATAAAATTGCTGGGGTCGTCACAACGGGAAGTAATAAAAAATAATAAAATGATTTTTTTTATTCTACCTGAACTTGAAATAATAAAAATAGATTATAATAAGTAGAGTTACAAAAAGCGAATAATTATAAAATATAGTCAACTGTGTAACACTATATTATAGCAGTTTATAACGTAGGTATCTTTAAGTAATAACAACCTA